ATCAAAACCACACATCAAACCTGAAAACAACTTTCTATAAAAACAAAGAAAAAGTGTTCTAAAATGCGGTATTTACATCATCAACATTACAGACTGTAAGCAGTGTGCACAGTGCTGTTTCCCACTGTAGTGCTTGTAATGCTGTGTACGAAATCTACTCAAGTCAAAATGCTTAGAAGAATCCATCACAATGCAGGAAAAATACATGTTTTTAAATGTAACAGTCAACTTCATAGACAGCCAAGTATCAGTTTGTTATTGGTTATCAAAACATGTTCCAGGCATGTTCTCAGTGAAAGACACCGTGTTCAGCATCAGCTGTTTCAATCCTAGCTCAGAAATCTCTAGAGTCCTGTACGAACAACGCAAAACAGGAGTCAACATTGTCAAAATTAAGTTTTTAAAGATCTAGTATAAACAACTTCCGTTCCAAGTTGTGTTTTCTCTACAGTGTACAAAACGTGCAGTTATTTTTTTTTTTTAAAAGAGTTAAATATTAATATTGAATTTGGATTATTTACATCAAAACAAAATCCTCTGGATATGAAAAGAAAGTCTTTCACTGCTGCCTTCAAGCAGGTCCAGCCCCCAAACCTCCCACACCTCTCCTCAAAAAAAAAAAAAAAAAAAAAGAAAACTTTTTTTTTTTTTTTCTAAAGACGTCATTGTCTCCAGGATGTTTGTCCCGACAAGAAACAGGACACTGATGTTTAAAAAGAAAAGAATGTCATTGTAATCCAGAATTCACATTTTAAAAACACCGTTGACTATTTGGGCAGTTAACTTCAGATTTATGAACATGAGGAGTTCAGACAAAATGTCTGGCAGATTAAAAGTGATAGAAATCTATGTGGAAATGTGTGGCTAAATGTGTATCCAATACGTAACTGTATAATAGGAATACATCTTTTCAGTGGACTTTCCTGAAAACATTATTTAATCCCACAGCACACACCAGGCCATCTGTGGGTAATTGTGTTACTAAGGTTGCAAGATTACATGGTGCCACAAGCAACTACACGAGCAACACGATTTACTTTTTAAGCAATAAAGAACAAGAATTATCTTGCATCGCCATATATGACTGATCTCTCCAAGTCATCTTAGTTGGTCTATGTGAAAATGGGACTTTCATACCATGCCCCTTTACCTGCAGTATCAAATCACCGACGCTGTTCACAGCTGTCGTCCTGGTCGTAGAATATTATTGTTCCTTTGACAGTGAATATACACAGAAAAAAAGATTTTTTGAAATGTTTCAAATGCATCTGAATGCGTGTGTGTTGTATAGCCGGGATCCTCATGATCACAAATCTCAGTACAACCGTATGAAATCTTTGGGAAAACCTTTTATCGATTTGTTTTTTGTGGTGAATTTCATATTTAATATTTGAACTCTTTACCATGTGCTAAATAAACACAATTCCCTTCTTTACATTTCTAAACAATGATTTTGAGTGATAGAGAGCAGACGGTTTGATCCCTTAGCAGACCCTTGATTTGGAGGGTTAATGAATGAACTCAATAGATGACCCTGAGTGAATCATTGGCCTTATATGATGATGGCCATATTCTAAAGCGTAAAACATTTGTCGATTGCAATTCCTTATTCTTAATTTAAAAAAAAAAAAAAAAAAAAAAAAAAAAAAGAAATGTCGCTAATTCAAAAAAGGTCCAGTTTAAATGTACAGGCACAAATTGTCAGTAAACAGATGTATTTACATCAAGAAATAAAAACAAAGAATGGAGAGAAAAACACAAAATAAATGCACACCCCTCCTTTAAATCTCCATTGTGCCAAACGTTCTTCCACAAAGATGATATGTTCGCATCATAACACCTGGAGCTCATAATACAGACTCCTCTTCACATCCGGGAACCCCTTTCCTGAAGGATCTGCAAAGACCAAAACATGATAGAATGAACAAAAAACACATCGTACCACATGCTCAGGAAGTAGTTTTGTTCCCGACTCTGTAAAGTCTACTGTATTCCTGCCAGAGTGCTCACTCTCCCAGCCAGGAGCACTCACACATTTACTCTACGCGCTGGCTGATCCAAGCTTACTGGATGGGGTGCAGAGTGAGGAAGATAAAGCATCCTATGCAGCACGTGGTTCTAAAGCCAATAGTGGGTGAGCCCATGAAGCTTCCTTGCTACTGGAAAGACATGCAGCTGAAGCTAACCACAGCCCGAGGAATGATTCTGAACTACAGAAGAGATGAACAAACTGAGCACTGTGAAGGAAACAGCAGCAGAATAAAAATGTAATGTTACCGTGTTCAGGATAGATTTAAAAAGGCGTTTTTTTAACTTGTATTTCAGCTTTCAGCAAAATCCTTCATAATAGCAGCGTGTCAATGTAAAGAAGATAAGGTTTGTTTTTTTGTTTATTAACGGAGCTTGTTCATCACCATTCTGCTTCACCCGTTTTCCCTTTTGGGACTTAATTGCCGTCACACAAATTGAGATAATATCAGGAGTCTAAACCACAACAACAGATATCTTCTTTGTGTAAATCTTGTGAGATTAGGGTTGGCTGATACAGATGTCATTAAGACGTATTGCCACATTTACTGCAGTAAAAAAATAAATAAAAACGCCACCAGTGCTGTTCAAGCAACACTGGAAAATGCGGGTGTGTGCAGACGCAGCGGCTCGGTGTTCTCGGTTAAACAGTAGCGTTTTGTTTATTTATGTATGTTTATGTCTGTTGAGTTTACTGGTTCAAGCACTTGGTATAAAAATGTTGCTGGCTGGCTGAGGGCTACCAAACGTTGCATCACTACAATGACAATAAAAACCTCTTTATCTACAACTACTGTTTTTGACAATGAAATGGACAAAGTGAGGGTAGTAACCCTCCCTTCCGTTTAAATGTCATTGAATGAGGGAAAATGAGTCAAAACTGCTGCAGCTGATGATTCAGAGTGTCCTCCATTAAACAGGGTTGAGAGCATGAATATAATTACAGGGGTCTTATTTACACTACTGAAACAAATGGAGCTCTTCCCATCTGCTTCCAAAAAAAAAAAAAAAAGAGCTTCATCTGCAAATTAGCATTCAGCCAGTCTCAGCAGGAGCCATCTGGCTTTTGATTTAGCTCTGGCTTGTAGACTGTGAAGACCCAAGCTGGTTTTCAACCTGTATTCAGTCCCTTTGCTCTGGTTTAAAAAGGTCTCGTCTTTGACACGTGAACAAAGTTTTCAGTAGGGTAACCTGCATCATAGAGGCACAGGGAAGAGAGGGGACCAGCTAGAGAGGCTATGAGCAGAGGAGCGCTCACCAGTGAGTCATAAACGCTCAACCCTAATCAGAGTCATTTCATAATCGGTCTCTTGATCCTCACTCTGAGCAACATGCAGCCAGCAGAAGGCAAGAACGGCATGTTGTAAAATAATGGAGGCGTAAGATGTTGAAAAAGAGAACGAGGGGAAAAATAAAACTAATGGATTAATGTTCAGAGGGTATTAATATTAACAACTACATTTAGCAAAACTCCAAAAAGGTACATGACATAGGTCTAAACGCTGAGTCAGCTCTGTCTGAGACACCTTTGTGTGGTCTAGTCGTCAGCATCTAAATGAAAGTTGTTCATGCCTGAGTCTCAACAGGAAATCATTGTTCACTTAAGAAAACGTCTAAATGAATGTCTGCTTTGCTTGAATTAATACTTCCTTTTTCTCTGATCACCGGCGGTTCTTCAGGCAGGCTGTTTCTTAACTGAGGGACTGAATATTCACAATGTTCTCCTTCATAGAGCTTTCTCATCAATAAAGCAGAGGTGCCTTCAGTTCCCCGGTGGCGTGTTCATAAATGCAATGCATTTAAAACATTCAGCACAGGCCATCATTCACAGACGTTTGCTGTGGATGGCTTCTCAACGTGCCTCCCCGCAAACTCAGACACTTACCTTAGCCTTCTCACTGGGCTCACTGTTTGTCCCGTATGATTGATTGTGCAGCTCCTTGGAGACTACACACAGGAACTCGGCTTGGTCTTCGTTTCCGTAGTTGTAAGAGGAGCCTATGCTGACCAGCTAGAGAGAGACACGAGAGCAGAGCACAGAGGAAGAGTTAGCCTTAGACTGATGAAGTAGAGGCAGAAACTGGGTTACTCATGGTGGGAAAACAGAGGCAGGGAGACATTAAAGTAATGTAAAAGAGGTGAACAACCAATCAAGGAGCAGAGAAGGTTCATGCAACTCGAATTTAAGGCTCGACAATATATGATTTTGGAGGTTCTCTAATTCGACATAGCTCAATACAGTTTATACAGACTAGACTAATCAAAGTGTGGTCGGTGTAACTCTGACGTTTGTTTTTAGGATTAATTATCTAATTTGTTACGTGCACCATATAATATGACATACAGTGGAGATGACACACAAACATCAGTGAGGTTTAAACCCAGAATGTCATGGACACACAATTGTATGGTACACCACTTGGCCAACCCACTGAAAACTTTTTAAACTAATACACTAAGAAAAGATGGATGTTAGAGGCTCCAAAACCTATTTCAAGAGCTAAAGTGTTCTTATAAATGTGTGTTTTAGGTAATTAAACTTATAAAATGCAATACAAACTGTGTTTTCAGGACTTGCAGAAATGCCAGCATTGAGAACCAAAATAAAACATTAATGAAGATCATAGAGCAAACAGAAGATTGAGTTCCCAAAGTAATTAGACATAAAGAAAATAATTGATGGACCACAAAGATAAGGTAATGATAATAAAAGAAATGGCACAAAGACACCACAGTCAGAAAGTGCAGGGACTCCAACACAGGAAGCAAAAAAACGATGTGGGAACAGTGGATTTGACTTGATAGGACCATGCTCGTTTAAAGTGAATAGTTGGAAAGAAATCGATACAATCGAAAGTTGAAAACTACAGTATCGCCTTCAAAGCAAATAAAGAGGAGCAAACTACAAATTAGATTACTCCTGTCAGTAAACAGTAAACACCCGCTCCATGTTTTAGCTCTGTGACTGAAGAAAACGTGTTGGATTTTCTTTAGTGCTTCGACTGCCATATTAATTCAGATCAATAACATCAATTCTAGATACTGTGAGCTGTGTTCTAAAATCTGCTTTCTTTGACTATTGGTTTACTCTACGTTTTATATTGGGCGGCCGTGGCTCCGTAGAGGATCCATTATATTGACGGCTCCTCCAGTCCGCATGTCGTAGTGTCTTTGGGCAACTTATTGAACCTCAAATTGCTCCCGAAGGGATCGGGAGTATCGGTGTGTGAATGAGCGTTGAGATTAAATCCTGATGGGCAGGCTGGCAGCTTGCATGGCGATGGTATGAACGTGAATGTTGTCATGTGGCGTGAAGCGCTTTGAATAGTCGGAAGACTAGAGAGGTGCTATACAAATGCAAGTCCGTTTACCATTCCATCATGTCTGCCAAGTCGTCAGCAGCACGGCTTAACATTCTACCACAAGTATGGAGAGAGAACCGAGTGCAGAACCCAAATTCAACCAACATCAGTGAAGCTGCTGCTTCTAACAGCAAGTGGCTTTTTTTCTTTGAGCACTGAATGCGTCTGTCAGGAAAAGAATTTGCATGAGAAAATTTTCCTATTCCAAGTCATGTCAGTGTGAATAAAAGACAAGATATATTAAAAAGGAAACATGGATAAGATCTATATAAACAAACCCTCGTTCACACCTTGAAAAAACATGCGAGAAACAAAACAGAGCAGTTCCTGTTCCTGAATAACTGCTTTTACTGCTGAATGGTAAGTGTGTGTACACTGCAGGCTACATGTATACCGTCTGTACCCAGGTGTGCATGTTCAGACATGCATGGCCTCATTAGCCACTGCTGCCGGAGACTTGTTGTTGTTCAGCAATCTTCCTCACATTAGGCATCAACGCAGCAATAAAAAGACCAAATAATCCCAACTAGCTACCATGGATTCCACTCGTCACTCTGCTGAAGAGTCAACGAGCATCAACGCCTCAGACTTTCTGGGTAAAATGCACTTCGACAAATTGTTTGTATTAAATGGTATCTTAAACCAGCCGTAGGTCATTAAAGCTCATCTCCCCAATACACTCTCCTGGGCTGACGACTGAGCTTTCGGCTTTGCATAAGGAGTGTTTCTAGGAGTTTCCCATCTGACCTGTGTAAGGAGATTAGAGAGAGATTTCAGCTCTAATGGGATCCCTCGTCTCAGAGAGATCCATTCACATACATTCAATACACAAAGTGTAGTTTCTCATTACAAATATTAGCCTTTGGCAGCTCCAGCTGAACACACTCATGTAAGCCTGGACTATTCACTCCTAATGTTTGAATATATATATATCGATAACAAGGTAGATTACCTGCGGGGGGGAAGACAAAACAACATTTCACTACTAAACAACCAGCACTATATTACAGCACAGTCCCCAAAACAGCAAAGTGGCTACATGAAAGCACAGAAAGCTGTTGACAAGCTTTAAAAACTGTGAATGCAGTATGAATTTTAAAAAAAAATAAAAAAATAGCATAATGAAATAAAAACACAGACAAGAAGAAGTGTCATGTCTCTTAGCCTTACTGGTGAGCAAGCAGTACAAATGAACACGGAAAAGAATTAACTCAAAGAATGAACAACAGCTATGTGTCTACTTGGGACAAACGACGGTCAACGGGGTGTGTGTGTGTGTGTGTGTGTGTGTGTGGGGACAACATGGGGACCATGCAGTGACCAGCCCGTGGACAGAAATTTGTTAAGACACACCTCTCCGCTGTTGTTTGGCAAAGCAGACTCCTCTCCCTTCACCTCCCTTGACACAATCAGCAGAAACTCTGACTGGTGGGCCCGCCCGTAACCTATACTGACAAGCTGCAACAACCAATCAGAGCACAGAAGGGATGCCCGGATCATGTATGCGGACAGTGAGAAAGATGCGATTTGCTGTTTGGCTTTTTTTTTAATAGCCATTTCCAATATTGAGGATTGGACTTTCTGGGTCAATGTGAGCATAGCGGGGTGGGTGAAGCACATGGAAGGAGGAATGCTGCTGTGACCCCGCAGGAAGACATTTACCTGTTCAAACTTCCAGCCGTCAGACATGGTCGACACCATCTGTGTCAGCTCCTCCTCCTGGCACTGCAGCACACGGTAAACATGCTTCACTGGAACCTGAGAGGGGGAAAAACACACGAGAGAAATGGAATCAAAAGGGAGAAATGACACAAAAATGAATGGAACAAGATCGTCATATTCATGGGGAAAATGTATTTTAATAAAACTTCATGTACCTGTGATGTTTTACAGTCGCGATCCCTGATCTTATCCTTGAGGAGCTTTATTAATGATGTGATGTTGTAGAATTCGGCCTCTTCTAGCACACCTGAAACAGTAAAAAATAAACCCTTAAGCTTATAGCAGACATATCCTTCTACGACTTTAAGGTTATGCAGAGATGATAGTGTAATGTGTGAGAATCTTTACTTCTTTGACCAGTCAAATGATTTGCATTGCACTTTTGGTCTGTCAAAATAGAGATGCGATGGACAAATAGGTAGTTGCCTGCATTTCTTTTTTGCAATCATTGCCATGTCGTCACTTTTTGCAACAATCAATGAACAATGATGAACTCAAATATTCTACAGAGACATTACCTTCCTCTGCCAAGTCCCTGTTGAGCACCAGCTTGCCATGTCTCAAGTAGTTCAGCACTGGCCCAAAGTATGTGGGGTCTCTGTCGATGAGATAGGCACCAGTTTCATCCTGAGAGAAGAAAGAGGATGAGATTAATAGAATAACACTGTATTTACCGACGGTGTTCGATTTTCAGAAACAATTCAACATTCAGCCACACTTAACAGAACCACTGCTTGTCATTTTAATTATAAGCATCCGGTACAGGGCACACAGTGTGCACACGTATATCTGAATTGAAACATAATCTGTGGGGGGATAAAAAAATAAAAAAAAAAACAACACTGTGCATCAGGGAATAAAACTCGAGGGATAAGAATTATGAGGTCAGCTCCTGTGCTGATAATCTCTACTGGGGCTGAGGGGACATGCGCACACAAGTGTGACAGCTTTGGGCTATCACTTCACTATTCCCACAGGCCTTGGGTTTGATCCAGATTTCCTCACAACTACTGGGTATTCCCCTATTTCTGTAAGTACTGTGATTAGACCGTCTAAAACAATTAGAGCAGAACATTTAAAAAAAAAAAAAAAAAAAAAAAAGATTTGGAACAGCAAGCTGAATCCACCACGTGGACCAGGAGAAAGCACCGTGGCTTACAACCAACAATTAGCCGAGTCAGCTCTGGTCTGCTACATAGTTGGCCAAACACATAATTCGAGTCTTTTTGGACTGCTGTAGAACTACTGCAGCTTCACATTTACTAAAGCACTCGGAGGAGGGGGGACGGACCTTAAGCAAATGTTGTGCTGATCCTGAAATGCGACAGGATGTTTGACTTTGCATCGGTCGGGTATTATGGCTTCAGGAGCAATCAGCCGCACTGATGGTCGCTGCAATACTGTCACACTCTGCAGGCCGTGACCAAACTCAAACAGACAAGACTGCTATGAAGAACATGTGATGAGTCATAGTTACCTCGTCTTCACAAGCTCAGAGAGGATTTAAAATCAAAACCCATTAATCTTTTCCATAATGAGAGAAGGTCCCTGTGCATTTTCCTTTGTAATGAATCTGAACCCTCCTGGCTGGTTGACCTCATTTCCAATGCAAAAATATCCAACCGGAGCCTAATGGAGCTCTATTCTGGTCTTATCACCATGTGTCAGTTTCTTACACTTCCATAGTCACTGAAGTTTGAGCACAAGCACAGGTAGGCCCCTGCGTGGAGGAAACAGACCAAAGCTGTACGTAATGGTTGATATTAACAAATAAGCTCAGGTGTCTACTATTGACCTCCAGCATCACCTTTTTACCAAATGAATGAGATCCATCGACCCTGCTCGTAGCAGGAATTTGGACTGGTAATAGCAGAGGTGCATTCCACCAATTACTGATATTACTGCTTATTTCTGCGCTTGACAAGTCAATATGTCTGTTTGACGAAAGGTCTATTCAACTTTAGATTCACTCCCCCTTCATCCTACTTTTACTAGAAAGGGACAGTTTGGGAAACCGCTGCTATAACAAGAACTTGTCAAGGCAAGAAAATATTACCATGTGCTTGAAAAAAAAAGGGAAATACTTAAAAATACTTTAGTTTCCATGTATGATGTGCTTTTAGCATAACATTTGGCTCATAAATATGGTAAAACTTACATTTAGGGAGGATTCCAATAGCCCAGTGGTTAAGGCTCTCACATTAATTCCCTTTTCCGTACGGGGACATTTGAATAACCGCCGTGAATAACACCTGCGCCCATCCTACTATGATAAGTCAAAATGTCTGCTGTGAAAAGGACTGGACTGCATTATGAAAATGTACTTCTGTAAACAGCCTCAAAACACTCAAAGATACCATATGTGCACTTCACACTTCTGTAAACCTTCCGCTTTCTGGCCCGTCGCTGGTCCTCAGGGTGCACATGCATCAATGGGGGACCGTAGGGTGACAGTGACCCAGTTCAGAAAAAGATGATTATGGGGGCTCTGATATGGGAGCCCCGTGTACACAAAGGGGACAGTGTCTTTAATGAGAAACAAAAGGCTGTGTCTCTTGGGGCCCCCGGCTGTGGGGCACTGGGCAACAAGCAGAGGGGGGGGGGGGGAGCTCGATGCTCAGTCTGAGAAAGTTCACCATCTCCGTGTTATAACACGATCATGGTGATGATGAACAAAACGTATCTATGAATATCAAGGTTTAAGTGAAAAGCAACCAACCTACTATCTTGACAAACACAATAGCTTCAGTAACACAATATGGAGATTTAGCGATGAAATAAAAATGCTACATAGCCAACAAAAAAACACCAGATGATAGCAACAAATAAACTGACAACAACCACCAGTAATAGGTCAGCTGACTTTAGGTCAAGCATGCTACATAGTGCTCTGTGGTTTGGTGTTGTAAAAATATTGAACGTGCAAAGCCTTCCGTACATACAGTAACAAGAGCCAAGTCAAAGCAGGCCGAACCGTGACTGGATTCAAACCCAAGATAACTTGAAATTAAGGTAAATAGAAGCAAATTAGAAGGGCGGGCTTTGAGTATTAACCTTATCACACTTCTTCTACACACAATACACATCCTCCCACAGGAAATACCATGGTGACCCACCCTTCAAGCATGTGATGTCCAACAAGGCTTTTTGCAGACACATCAACACTGAATATCAACTCCTAATTCAACAAAATTAACAAGTCGCTGCATGTTTGCTTGCGAGTACAACGATGGGTGTACACCAAAACCTTTGCATGGCACAATTCACCCAGTCGAGCCAGACAGGTGTGGGTATATATATATATATATATATATTCACTGCTAAATTCCATATAACATCGGCTTTCAAATAATACACCAGGTGGTGGTTAGCAGTCGTTATCAAAGAGAAATAGCAACATCAGTGAAGTCATTCTAATTTGCATGTTGCACGTTATCAAAAGCTGCTCAGCCTTCACTGCAGTCAGGGTGGAGCACCAGCTTACTGCAGAAACACCACTTAAAAGATGTTGCAGTAGATCTTCTGAACCACATGACTGTAGCTACTTAGCCAAGTGGAAGCCTGATGCTTGTAGAGTAGGAGCCAGGAGTCCCTCTGGAGTACAAGCAGTAATGGCATCGTCAAATGGGCCTTCAACTTTTAAATAATACACACAGCACACCAGGCCTATATTATGTGAAACTATCTCATATTTCAAGATATTTAACACGGTGTATTTGAATGAGTTTAAACTTTCACGAAGGCTGGGAAGAACATATCGCCTTTCTGCCATTTTCAACTCTGCAAGGAAACACCGTTAGTGCATTTTGCAGAACAATGTTGACGGTAAACGAACGGCTCCTTTTGAACATTCCCTAAAAGCATTGCTGCTGTAATGAGAGGCAGTTAAGTAGCTCCACGACTAAGCTGGCAAACCAGAAAATCACTGAGACCTCGAGCTTTCTCCTGGCAGAACGAGAAATGTGCATTGCAACAGAAAAAGAAAAAGGCTGGAAGTGAAATGATTGGTCTCGTGGGGAATGAAATTCCAAATGACAAGATTTTAATTTAAGGCTCTGAACAAATGTAGGTGACTGGCTTTTGTGAATAAAGTTGCTTTAGACCAATAAAGCCAATCGGCCTCGAGTCGCACCTGATTTGCCAATAGTACTCTGCACGGTCCTGTTGAGCACTTACTGCAAGAAGACAGAGCAGGAGGAGACGTCACTGTGAAATATTTACATCGCCTCCCATGGTGTGCTCAGGCATGACATACAAGCTGAATACGGCACTAAATGCGACCATAGTTCTCCTCACACATGCCGCAGAGAGAACTTCTTTGGTGCATCAAATGGATATAAATATGTAAAGAATAAGATGTGGAAGGAACAAGAACCCTTTGTGATGGGGTGCTTGAAAAATTGATGCAGCTCTCAAAAGCTTTGAAAGCTGTGTCTGTCCTTGAGTGGTCTCGAGCTGAGCAGTTTGAAAGCAGGCGAGGGACGGACGCCCATTGATGTGCAACTCCCAGCTGGTTGATTGGACAACTGATGACTTTGAGAGCAATACCTGCTTATGATTTTGCAGCATCAAATATTCACACAAGTCTAACAAACCTAGTTAACATCTTATGAGTAGGATGTTAATTATAGGGTAAACTATTTAAAAAGTATACTTATAAATAAAAGGCTTTCTGTCTCATCTATGCACGTGACGGCACTTCCTCCACTTTCTCCCCGATCTACCCCAATGTGCAAAACAGGCTCCAGTCAACAACATGAATAATGCAGTTCTCCTCAAGAGTCCGGCTGAAGCACGTCAGCCTGCGTGACTGAGAACTGAACCACTCATTTCCTTGGCTGGGAAACACAATACTGCATTCACACAGAAACAGAGCTCTTCTCTCTGATCCGTTACTCTGCTGGGCTTCATATTCACATGCAGTCGTGTGATGCAAAAAAAAAAAAAAAAAGATGGCCTTCTTGGCTCAGTCGCTGATTAGATGAAATCATGCCGATGTAAATTGTTTTAGACACAGCAGCAAGTGAAATAATATCCAATAACCTGCTCTTTATAAGAAGCTATCTATAATCAGACTGCCTGCAGGAGAGAGGTACAGTAATGGCCTCAGAGTCTGATGCACACTTAAGACGAAAGGATTTAGATGGACTGATCCGTTGCTCATGGGAGGATAAACTGACAAAAAAAGCAAGCTGATTATTGAGAGATTAAGATATTTGCATGAAAATACGAGATGATCCACGGCCTCAGCTTAGCATAAAGGAGGGCAGCGGTGCAAGTAGATGACAACAATGAACAATGGGGCAGTAAACCGAACGACAAAAACCAGAGCATATTATACTATGTATACAGACACTAATACATTGTGTTTGACAGTGCCTGGGGCCTTCAAGCGCGCGCGCACACACACACACACACACACACACACACACACACACAAAGAGAAGCCTGCTTCTGGAGCATTGAGGCCATTCAGGCAGAGGAGTGACTTCATCCTCAGCTCTCAGTTGTCAGCAGCACCTCACTCCACTTGGCAATGAATTATGTGCTCATTAGAGAAGCCTCGGCACCAGCACAGAGGCTGATTACTGCACAGTGAACAGAGCCAAGTCACAGACTCACCTCAAGAGAGGAATGGGGGGGGGGACACAAATTGATCAAGCAATAAAGTCTTGTATGTGTAACGTTACATCATTTGGCAAGTCAATTACAGCACGCATTTCTGTACTAAATTATATAAAAATAGAAATTGGCATAAGATTTAGGCTGTTAGAATATTATGCTAAAAGTCCATTTCATATTTTACTGAAATGATTCTGTTATACACTTATTAGACTGATACGCTGAGTGAAATAGTTTACATTAAATACTATTGTAACCCATCTACAGCCATGCACAAAATTGGGTTACACTATCTACAGAGAGGTCCAAAGTTGAATATTTAACAGTACTTTTGTGAATATGGAGAATAATTGGTTGCTGTCACTGTTTTGACATCGCACAGCTCGGCCTCAGACGGAGAAAGTTTCCAACTAACGTTCTGGGGCGACTTGATATTTAGCCTGAAAAAGCCGTAAAACTGTTTAAACCATGCGTTGGTGTTTACATCAACACTTTAAACAAGACATTGAGGTAACGACAACCGCAAGACATGGCAACGAATTTTGTTAAAAGACCAAAATGAGCCAGCTACACACAGATGCTAGCAGCAAAGATCATATGTCATGTGGGGACTGTCGGAATCTAGCTAGCTTCGCGTGCTAATGCTAGTTAGCCACACACATTTGAGTTAGCACAAAGTATGAATAAACAGTGATGTTCACACAGCGGGGCATCTGGTTAAGCAAGCTGGTACACACAGTCACCAACCATCCCAGTTGCTCAACAATACAGGAAGCAACTATAAAGTAACTTATAGTTGACCAATAGCGCTCCTAACTAGCTTAGCATTTACCTTGTCGGAGTCGAGCTCGGGGTCAGCTTGGCTCAGTCTGTACAGAAATGATTTTGGATCTCGACACAGCGTCTGTCTCGTTGTTAAAAAATACGTCCCCCCGACGTTTAGTCGGATCCACTTCGATGCCCCGACACCGGCTGGAACGTGTCTCTCCGCCGGAGAATGGGCCAAACATCTCCGGTGGACGGAACCGCTTGTCTCGGAGCTGTTCTCTGCCATCCCTCTCTTCGTCTCCTCCGCCCTCGCCTAGGCTTGTGTGCGGCTGACAGGAAATATCTAAGCTGCAGCCACTGACTTCCACGATTCATGCAAAGCAGGCTGCCAGCGCCACAGCCACTCCTACCAGCCCACTCCAGCACCCACAGACACTTTGTGTAGATTATCCCGGAGAAGAGAGGCTCTCCCGAGTTTGATCCACTGACGCCTCGATGTGGAGCAATGGTCTCTTGATACAGACATCCCGGAGATGTCACAGCGTATAAAAATGTCACTTCGTGAACAGTATTTCATGCTCGCACATACAGAAGACCAACTAGGTTTAGGTTTTCTCCCGTGTTCGCAATACAATGTGTATTAAAAGTAATTTTCACGACACACAAGCGCTGATAATGGGCCGGTACTTTATTTACATGTTGCAAAATGTGAGATGCCATTGCCACTGAATGCTGCTGCTGCTTTCGTGGTGTCACGACTGTGGTTGATAACAGAAGACAGGACACGCGGCTTTATTTGTATGCCTAAATCCCTACATGCTTTAATTACTGGACTACCAAGCATTAAGTGGAAAATTCATCATTCAACATCTACTGACCTAGCGCACAAATAATCAGAGAGAGAATGAACAGATTCATTAAATTATCAGAATATGATTAAATCACTGAGCAAATAGAAAATGTATGATATAGTAAGAAAAAAGCTGTAAAATATTATAGTTTACAATAATTATTCACATTCAAAGGCTTTACATCTCAATACATACACAACATGGCCCCTGAACATGACTTCAATCCAAATGATTCATATATTAGAATTTAAATAACACAGAATGAACTAGAGGCTAAACAATAGCCATCAAATAACCTTATACAAGAATAAAAATACAAAAACTGTATCCTAATATCATTGCATTACTTGCTTCAGATTTTAATAATACATCATCTGTACATCACAGTTCTAGTCAGTTACAAGCCAGGTAGAGTATTCCATACACAATGTAACCGACTGCCATCGACTTGATTCAAACAATTTTTCTAACTAGAAGAAAACACTACTCTAGTGCTTCCTCAACTTTATAGACAGATACAGCAATTTTTCATCGGTTATTTGGATCAGATAGATATCTTTTAACTGACATCCAACCACATTGAGCCCCGGGCCCCAGGGTCCTATTCACCTATACTCCAGTCACACACTGCACACACAGACTCAGCTGAAGGAAGAGGACCTTTGGAAAGGACCTTAAGGTAATATGTCAAAAATTAAAAGCATTATGATAATACATATTGCTAAAACAAGAGCACAAGTTAAATCAGTCGCTTTAATTTCTATTGGGCCAAACGTCAGAATGAAAACAAAATGGGCCGATGAGCCCGATGAGGCAGTTCTGCCATCTCGTCCGGGGACAACAGCGTTACCGTGATTGCTTCGGAGAATGATAGTGTGTGTGTGTGTATGTATCACTTGTTGATGAAGGTTTTCTGTTCAGCATGGGGTGGTCAGCACATACGATTTAGTTTTCAATAGGACGTACTGAAGATGAGCCGACTATCCCACCGAAAAAGAAGTTGCAGAATTCACATCACAAAGAAATAGCCAGTGAATGGTACAGAACAGCCAAATTCATCCAATAAAATACGCTATGGTTACCAATGCAGTCAAAAATACCCACCTTTAAACTTGAATAAACTATATCTCCAGTGCCCTGGGAGAGAGAGAAGCAGACAAGGCTGAGCTACAAAACTGGCCATGCAGGAAAGATAAGCAAGTTATGATTAGGAAGTACAAGCTAGTGGCATGTTTACCCGCCCCCTGTTAGCAACACATCCTAAGTCACGGCTACAGAAGGCTCGCACTTGTATAGAGACTGATTCAGACCCATGTCTCACTGCAGACCGGCACTCTGCTTTGTTACATCGAGACCTTAGTTTGACTGCAATAAGCAAGTTCCAAGAGACTTAAAAAAAAAAAAAAAAAAAAAAACTCAAATACCGTGGGAACACTTGGGCTCTGACAAAAATATATATAGGGTTTGAGTTTGGTAAACACGTGAGACTGAATCTGCGTACAGTATCTGTTACAACCATGGAGTATTATGCTGTTGAAGTGGGGCCTGACTACAGCTTGCACATACGATGTAGGAATAGGATATGGTTTAATTAAGATATCAGGATAGGCTCTGGTTCACAAAAGCTAGATTTTGTGTTATGGTATCATTGGAGCAGGAAACCAGTCCTTGCATTTGAGATAGTCCTAGCGGTAGCCAAGCGTGTGTCCCTCTATAGGACAAGCTTGCCCCTCTCTTCCCCCCCCTGCAGAATGTACAAAAAGCAGATGTGCATGGTGGCAGTCTTATCATCCATACATGGAAAAATGCAATAGAAGCCTCACAGAGAGCACAAAGAACAAGCAAAGCAACCCTGAATCCAAAGTTGTATTTTTCCCATGGTTCTACTCAGGAAAACAAACAAGGTCTAGATGCCAGCGTCTCTAAGAGTTTGTTTACATTGCGGTGATGAAGGGCACTAAAGAGGGTGTTACTCTGCTCAGTGATTGGCCTCAGAGCTAAAGAGGAGTGGCCACAGGAGGAACTGTGCTCCTATAGGCCGGGGTTTTGGTGCCTTTGATAGATCTTTCTCCACACTTCCTGGATCTTCTTGCACCATCTGTCAGCATTTCCGCTGGGGTCCATCAAATAGTATGTTCTGTTAGGCTGCAAAAATAAAAAAAATCACAGGAGATGAAAAAAAACTATTAAAAAAGTAAACCACATAGGAGGAGAAATTCTAATCAGTTGCCAAGTATCAATATACTGAACAGACGTCAAAAACAAATAGTAATTTACCGTATGAACAAAGAAGGTTTTGAAGTTCTTGGCCTCAGGGCGTAGCTCTAGGGACCAAGGAATCTCCCCTTTCAGGACCTTGTTTACAGGATCCACGTAGTACAGGTGTGGTCCTTCAGTGAGAAGCAGCTGTCTCCGTCGAGCAAACAGACCCTGCAATGGAATGCCACACGTCTCGAGACATTAGCTCACCAACAGAGGGGGCTATGAGGCCTATGTGACTCTCCTAAACACAGCACTGAATTCATCTTTACTTTCTATATGTCATCAGTCAGAGAAACACCATGGGAGGTGAATTCATTTATGCTGAGCCAAACTTAACTAGAAAACCTGTTTACATTTTACTACAAACATCTCATACACAGCCACTGTGTGTATTCTAGCTGGCAGAAAGAACATCCTCCCCCATAAGAAGACCTAACTTCAAAAAGGTAAAGTAAATATATCCTGAATTACATGGCCTTGAATTCACACACCTTCCTTTTGTCCACTGGGCCCATCTTCAGGATCAGGTTATTCTCCACAAACTGGTGCCTGTGTAAATAAGCAACATCAGATTACTGACACCCACTCGGTTTCACTCAAAACATTAGTTTTTCTACAACAAATGAACATTTTTCAAAGATTCAGATTTACATCAAAAAACAAACAGGACTCTAAAACACAGAGATTAACAGGTCGACACATTGGCATGGGGGGGCTTTACCAGGTGTTTCCAGTGGTCTGTTTGTCCAGCAATAGCTGCTTCTCTTCTTCAGTGAACTGCAGATCCAGCTCAAAAGAGTTATTGTCCAGGTCATGGATGTACTGCTCAATGTTGCTGCTGGACCTCTGCGGGGGTGTGGATTCATGTGGTGACAAGGAGTGTGATGAGCTGGACTGGGCCACCTGCATGTTGCTGAACTGGCTCAGGAGGTCATCATACTGAGAAATGAGACGGTTGAGAAAAGATATAGTGATGCTTGTGGTTTGTTGAGGAGAATACATTTTTAAACAAAGCGTCACACCTGAGTTTTCCCATGACCAATCAAAACAATGGACAAAAAGGAATGGGGGGACCTGGACTGTAATAAAATATCTTACGTTTCCATAGCAGTCCTCATCATCCTCAGACATGGCTGGCAGGTAGGGGGTGAGCTTGGGGGGTGTCTGTAGGTGGAGGTCGCTCCAGGAGATAGTGTCGAAGAAGGGGTGCTGCCTCAAAGGGTCGTACCCTCCCATCTCTTCACACCCAATCCGCTTGGAAGGGTCCAGTGACTGAGAGAAAAAACAAAATACATTCTGTAAATAACAAACACCAACTGACCCCCGAACTTATCAAATTAAAGTCCCCATGCATATCAGTAACATTTAATGGTATCTCACATCTATGAATCCTGGTTCTTGATGACTTACCAAAAGCTGTTTGACAAGATCCTTGGCTTTGGGGAAGAATTTCTCGGGGAATTCATACTCCAGCTTTATTATCTTCTGGAATATTAGGTACTCATTTCTGCAACAAATGAAACACAAGAGGAAAAGAACAAAATAATAGGGGCTGTTAATGAACTCTTGTTTTCTAGAGTGACATAACTGGGGCATGGTTGTTGTCACGTCTAGCATTAAAGTTCAATAACAAAATCAAACAATGGAAAATTTGACAATTAACTTCAACTTAGTACTCACCCAGCTCTGAAAGGTGGTAAACCAGCCACCAGCTGATAGGTAATACATCCCAAGGCCCAGAGGTCAGAGCTAAAAAAGGACAACAGATACAGGAATAAAGTCGAAATGTGATGCCGCCATTATCTGACAAACGTTAAAACAGAACAATGATTAGCACTTGTACAGTGATGACCAAACCTCATACCTCTTGCAGGCAGATTTCTCTGTCAGCAGCTCTGGAGACACGTACTGTGCTGTTCCGACAAAGGAGTTTGCTCTCGCTGCCAAAGTGTGGAAATAAATGGTTAAAAGACACGAATAACGTCATCCTGCTCTCAATGAGTAAAAGGCTAAATTGATGTACTTAACACACTTGTTATACTTTATGTTTAAGTAAAATAAGGACAGTGGTTATACCTTGTTTACTGTCTGATGATAACTGTTTTGCCGTCCCAAAATCTGTTATCTGGATGTGCATGTCTTCACTCAGAAGAATATTCTCTGGTTTCAGATCTCTGAAATGACACAAACCAGTTGTAACTCATGGGGAAACAAACGCTTAACAGGATTTGAAAATGACATATCAAAAAAACCAAAAAGGACAAAAGAAATGGAAAGTCTTACCTGTGTATTATCCCCTTATTGTGTAAGTATTCTAGAGCACAAACTATTTCCGCTGAATAGAATCTAGTACAGGTCTCGTCAAAAGAACCAATTTTGCGAATGTATTTCAGGAGCTCTCCATTCTTAGCGTAGCTCAGGCCAAAATCTAAGAAAAGCTAGTTAAGGAAGAATGATTACCAGAAATCAATTGTTAAAAAACACAAACTAAGATGTTTTTGACACATTAACAATAAAACAAGAGGTAAGTTGTTAATACACCACATGCCTTGACAAACTTATTAGAAGGATACACAACTTCTCATCATCTTGAAATGTGAAGTAGAGCTTGACGAAGAATGGGTGTTCTAGATTCGACATCAAATCTCTTTCTCTTTTCACGTACTGGGCTTTGTTTGCCTTCACAATATGGCGCTTCTCTAAAATCTTAACTGGTGGAGAGAAAAGACAATTTTAGGATACAATAGTAAAAATACACCAAGCAACTTTTACATGTTGATAATACGTGTCATTGATATCATTCACCAAAAGCTGGTGCATTATTACTTACTTGCATATTCTTTACCCGTTACCTGCTCTCTTGCCAGGACAACCTTAGGATGAAAAAAACACAACACAACATGTTAGTTTCTTGTCTGACTTAGGAGAAACTCATAGGGTCTACTTTGTCAATTCCCCTCAAATGAACCGAGGATGCCTCATCCAAGCACATTAATCAAAAGAATGCTAGCATGTAGCGACATCTACCCAGGTATAATTCAAAAGCTAAGTGGAATGCAAGTTACATACCGTTGAGAAGGAGCCCTCTCCCAGAATCTTGCCGAATCTAAAGTCCTCTGGCTTCTTCTTGCGTGGCTGAGGGGCCTGGACAGCCGGCTGTGTGCGGAGGTCTGCGCCCTGGCTGCTGGCAGACGCTCCTACAGCACGGGCCTCTGAGGCGGAGCCCTCCATGCTGGGACAGTGGCTACTGCTTGCGCCTGGGATAGCAAGTGGCGAGCAGGAGTCAGGGTGGTTTCTTACCATTGATGGATGCGAGCAGGAACAGATGACAACGCTGGGCTGAATGGGCACAACATCATACTGGTAGAGGAGAGGGAACATTGAGAACATATCAGTCAGCAGGGTGATGCAGTTGTCGTTCTGGTTTTTAGCATTTAAATAGTACATCTTCTTCTTAGACCTAGTCTAAGATTGCACCATTTAACACACCTAAAAACTAATGAATCATCCCTTCATTATGAATAACAATCGGTATGCTGGCAAGCTTAGGCCAACCATATCTAGCAACCACATGAATGCTGGGAATAAGATATTACAATAACAACAGCAAGAACTGCCTTTAATATCAATTTTCATAAAGAATATCTGTGTTTGAAGAAGATCGTGCCTTTCTCTTCAGCTCTTTAAAAAATTCCAGTCTTTTGAACTGGAATTTTAAATATTTTTACCATCATTCTCTGAGCAAATAGATTTCATAACAGCTTGCTAATAATGCACCATAATTTTACCTGAATAGGATAACACAATAGTGATAGACAAGTGTATAATTAAATATATACGAGCAGTTAGCCAACATTTTCAGAAATTAGTGTAAATAAAAGTAGATGAGATCTGGATCACATAGAGTAGACCCACCCCATCCAAGGTTGACAACTTAATTGACTGCACCCAAAACTGTTGGTAGAATATCTTAAATATACAATTTCAAGTGAGACCCCTTGAGGAGCAAAGTCTAGAATTGATATGGACATGCAACGACTATTGAAGACGTCGCTTCTGCGGCTGGTGGTCCCACCCTCCAGTGTTTAAGTTGTGAAAACTATGTCAAAGTCAGTGCTTTCATGTGACTGTTGTACTTACTACCTCAGCTGCACTGAACACATACAATTTGTAGCCACATGATCAAACTGAAAGGCAGTTAAGGCGAACAAACAAGTACAAGAAAACCACAAAATAATTGTTGAGGACTCGAAGATAACATACAGCGACAGGTTGTGCTTTCCAACAAACTCCTTGGTGCTTGTACCAATGTTGTTTATTTTCTACTTACTGAACCACGAGAACTATCAATGCTGATGTTGTTCAGCTTACAACTCTGTTAGTGTTAGTTAGCTAGTTCAGTTGGACTAGCTTCTTCTCATTCAAAACCAAGGTGTGGCCTTTTAGCTGCCTTATCCCGGACTTGACTGTATTGTTGCCAACTAACGATAGTCGTATTACTCTCTACTGAACCATTACTGTAAGTCAACCATGTAATGGTTGTTAGAAACATGTCAGCTAACGTTAACCCAACCCTAAGTACTCGGGTAACAACAGGCCTGTGCGAACTTTCTTTGCTAACTAATGCCTGCTAGCAAGCTAACGTTAGCTCCTGCTGCCTTGTCAAATAAAGCCGGCCATCACTGACAGCGAGTTATAAACTTAACGCTAACAGCCAGTCAATTAGCTAACGTTAGCAAGCCAGGTAACAAGTAACGTTAACTTCAAAACATTATGCAATTTTCACATAACGTTACTCAGTCACGGTCGAATTTGATGTGCTAGCATTAATATCGAAATTTCAAAGTTAATGGGTTGACAATCTAACTACAAAGTGTTAACCTTAAAAAGCTGCCTTCTAACCAAAGGTGGAACGCAGTAAAGCTACCGTTAGCTTGTTAGCTACTGTTAGCAAAGCAGGAGCATCGTTCGAAAGCGCGAACATGTTTAGCTAACGTCAGCCAACAGATAACGCTACTGACCAAGGGGGAATGGTCATCCTATAAAACTATCAGCAAGCATTTTAAAACGCGAAACCAATGCAGAATAATTAAAAGAACATTTGGTCATGAATTAAGCCAGGTGTTAGACAATCCCGTTTAACGTAGCAAACATTAGGTGTTGTGATAGCCAACATTAGCGAGCTAACGTTGCTAGTGAGTCGTAACGTTAAACGATCTTTTGCGGCTAGCACCGCTCTTCGGATGAAGGCCCGACCTAACTATTTGTTGTCAAACAGCCGCCACACTGTACATTTTCAGCACCGGCTTCGAACTGTTATTCTTTTCAGAGTTACGACACTCACCAGCTGACTTGTAGCTCTTGCCATGGGAGTTTTCCTCGAGTATTTATTTGGAATAAAATAATTAGAGAAGCTCCAGTAATGGCTGCCTCTGCGCCTTCATTTTCGAGCTGTGACGTCGTTCCACAACAATGTTACCGCAGGACAGCAGAGGAGAGTCCCGCTGTGTCCGCCCCCCTCCACACATTTACAACCTACTGAACTTCATCTTACTGATAGGAATTCAGTCAGACGGCTGCAGTTGTTTATATATTCAGATGCCGCAGTTAACGTGGCCCACAACCTTATCTTTACGCCGGTCTGTTTTAGATTGACTAATGCATTGTAGTGAGGCTTCTCCTCAGGTCGCCTACACCATTTTAACTCCTCAAGGCTGCTCCAACTTTTGTGTAGAAGCCCACAAGTCTGCGTTTACCATCAAATCATGCATATCAAACTTCAACCACCACGTACTGCTTGCAAGGATTTGTTTATTTAATCTGCGTTTACATGAAGACAAACATACAATTTATTGTATAAATTATCTTTTTTTTTGGATACTTGTACAAAACTGCATAGCCACAATTAGCCTCCAGGTCATGTATGAGCCATGAGTGTTGAAAAAGTGTTGCCAGTCTTTGTAGTAAAAATCCATAGTTGAAATAGGCTTTATTGTGACAACTTTGATCCAGTCTCTTCCTCTTCGTGATGATGTGATAGGCCTACTGGTATTGACTCAATGTTGCTCTCTGTTTTTTCATCTTCTTCTTCATCATCTTCGTTATCCTCCGAGGTGTCCGTATCCCCACTAGAATCCTCATCTTCAGGTGCACTAAATACAGAAGAACAGTTTGAATAACTTAGTAACCATACCCATGGGGAAAAAGTGTGCATGTACAGGTGTGTTTTTCAAGAATATTTTGTATTTTCCAAACATTGTTGACTGTAGGTTATTTCAGTTGCACATTTGAAAGTTGTATAAAGTGACGCAATACTAGCAGAAAAAAATGCAGAATCTAAAATTTGACCAAATGTAGCAGTAAAATAACTGGATCAGTACTAATGCTTCATTTATCATCATTTCATCACTACAAGGTTCTCAAACCGTGCGTCTGAGGGATTACCTCACTCTGAAAGTGGTTGCATGTTAAAATGCCCTCATGAGCAATATTAAATGCTTACCACAGACGTCTGTTGAGATTCCCACATTTTACTCCAGAGTTAACATCAAATGGATCTGTGAAGGTAGATAATCAGCATTTGTTAAGAAAATGCTTCAACAATAGAGGTTATCACTTTAGCCTGGTTCCAGACCTCTGAATCACTGCCAACATCTCTGACTTATTCAGCAATTGAAATTAATCACAATGATCTGTTGTATTATTGATCAGCAGTCTAGGAAACGATGCAAGAAACGTCTCCGTCAAAGTCTACAATTTTAGAGAATGCTGCCTATAATTGATGAATAATAAATCATATGAAATTCATACAGCTTAAAAGCCTTTTGAGACAATAATAATTCAGCAGCGGTGAGACAACATAGGAAAAGAAAATATGAAATATATATTTAGTAATTTAGTCTTTTTAAAGTTGAATAGATATGATCTATTTCGGGGATGGAAGTTGAACATGAAGCCGAACCAAGATTAAAATAAGGACTGAAATGACCCCAACCATCTCTGCTACACACATATATTGGTAAACACCGGAACAGACCCCAGTTTATTTCTATCTCCCCCATTTTACCGAACTCCTCCTCCACTGGTTCAGACGTGAGATATTCCTTTTCTACAGCGAGCAGCTCTTCCTCTGACTGACATGCAGCATATCGGTCCAGCAGAACTTTATTGAGATCCAGGAACACTGTCCCCCACTTGAATTTATTCAACAAGAGCATTGCTAGTTCTTTGAAACCTGCAAAATCAGATACAGTATGTTAGAGTATCACTGCCATAACTTGGAACAGGATACAAGAAACAGTCAGGAAGACAATACAGTACATCATTCCTGAATAACTAAAGCCTTACCGACAATGCAGAACGTGGCAGCAAAAGCCTCAACACAGGACAACTTGCAAGGCTTGCCGTAGTTGACCGGGTTTGCAGCTACAAGGAATGGCAGTAACCTGGGATGAGTTCCCACCATCTTATTGAAGGGAGTCTCCTCCAGTTTAGCCCAGGAACAATCGATCACTGCTATACCATTCTTAGCCACAATCTCTCTGTGTAGAAAGGTCCGTACAAAAAGTATTGACAATGTCAATCATCTGATCACAATTAGACATTTATTACAAAACAAAAAAATTTGTTAAGTTTGACCAACAGATTTAAAAATGTTAAAATAAGCGTATCTTTGTGTTTACGTTTTTGGCTGCTGATCAGACATAAAACATCTCAAGATCAAACTTTGTAGATTCAATTATTAACAGATCAATCAAAAACAAAAAAGATGACTTAATTAACTGGTATATGTCCCAGTGTATGGCTTAGTTATGAATCATCATGCGTTATAATGATAGAACAATGCACACCTGTCTGCTGGGGTCACATACTTTGTGCCCATCGGACTCAGTATGAGTCCATTAAATCTCTGATTGAGGCGCAGGTTGTGTACAAAGCCCTTGCGTGCCAACTTTCTTCCAGTACACCGTTTGGGATCACAGTGACCCAACTCCCACATGGCAAGTGGACAAGGCATCTTCACCTGAGGGGCCTCTGCTCCCTCCTCTAGGTGAAGACTTGCTGAAAAACACAGTGACAGAGGACAAAGTGTACATTATGATGCGAGTGTGAGCACTCTTACTCACACTTTTTGAACTTTTTTTCTTCATGACATTGATGTAAAACAAATTAATTGCAATTTACTTACTGTATAGCCTAAGTTAACAGTTTCATACAGCCCCCAAAATACGAGGCAAGCACAAAACAGTTACATAATAGAACATAACTTTGGCTATAATTAGTTAATTTATTATTACCTTCAAAAGCAGTGTGCATTTCTTCTGTAAAGGCCTCTAAGGTTTTCCCCTTCATTTTATGCCTTTTTTCTTTGCCCTTGTTGCCTGGGCGCACAAACGTGCCCTGCTTCTTTCTCCCCATGCTGCAAGTTAAAGTTGTTCGTTAAAACTAACCAGCATGTTCACCTGCTTTCCTCTGACGTTAGCTGCTAGCTAGCTAGCGAAACCACACAAACAAACACACAACAGTTTGTCTAATGTAGCTCGCCAAAAGTACACGTCTCGTATTTTATCTCCGGGTACACCATTCAAACGTTCAAATATATTGTCACAATACAACTGCCTTTAGTCTGCATGTATCACGCACTTCTTTGTTACACTATTTAAACTAGTTTAATCGGCTATGGCTCGTGGAAAGCACGTCGTTGTCCGAGACGTAAACGGCGCATGCTCAGATCTTATTTTCATCACGTGACCTGTCATCTGACGAACGAGGAAATGTAGCTAGAAATAACCGATAGCACGTTTTAGTCCCTCAAAAGACAACAATGCAGCGTTTGTATAACGGAATACATCATTTATTGAGACTGTTCTTGGTCTGTGTATCTCTTCTCAGTAAGTGCTGATACTCTGCTGAGTGTATTTTGTGTTAATGTCAGTAATACCGAAACATATGCGCCACATTACATTGTGGTGGTGCTGTTTGTTAATTGATTTAAGGCTGATGTCGACTTTTTTTATACAGTAAATCATGGATTCGCCGGTAAAATGAAGATAGTCGAGGAGCCAAACACATTTGGGTAAGTTTAGTAAAAGATTTGTCAGTGTGCACCTTGTTGACATTCGCCCCTTCCTGACTGATCTTCTGTGTTTAGGTTGAACAATCCTTTTCTGGCTCAGGGAAGCAGACTACAGCCTAAAGTGACCCCTTCTCCAGTGTCTGGTAAAATAGTGTAACATAATTTTAAGGCCTACCTTTCATTTAATCCTGTGTTGTAAATGTTTTAATGGTAAATGGTCAACCAGAGGATGTTGACAAAGTTATCAAGATGTTTTCTGTGGATCAACTCAGTCACTCATCATATCATCAATTTCTTTCTCAAGGCCCTGCACATTTTCATCGGCTTGTTGGGAAGTGCTTCAGTCTCACGGAGTCAACGTAAGTATTTCATATCGCATGTCATGCTCACATGTGATCCCCATCTCCACTGGCTCTCTGCAATGACCCTGTTTTGGATGCTGATTGTCTTTTACATGCATGCTACATTGACATTAAAGGATATTTGTGTGTCTGGGTTATTTTGCAGGTATAAATATGAATTATGTCCATTTCACAACATCACCCAACATGAACAGTCATTTAGATGGAATGCCTACAGTGGGATACTGGGGTAAGATGAGGCTCCCTTACATTATATTACCTACGATTACCCTTATTGCAAATATCAATATGTGAATGATTGGCAATAAGCTGTGGGTTTGTTGTAAGAGCAGCCTTTTGCGTGTTTCTAACAGGATCTGGCAGGAGTGGGAAATGGAAAACAACACTTTCACAGGCATGTGGATGAGAGACGGGGATACTTGTGGAACGAGAAACAGGGAAACAAAGGTTACATGGGTTTTAAATGTTTAAACTCTTTCTTATTGAATATAAGAGCGATTAAGTAACACTTGAGGAGATAATTATGAAACCTTAAACAGCAAATACATCAGTTAATATTCACCAACAACTCTTACCCCAAATTCAAACTTTGAACAATCATCCCAGAGCCAATGAACAGACAACTTTTCAATCAATTCATCAACTCATAAGCATTGTGACATTTAAATCAACAATATGAACTCCATAAAATGAGTGTAACTTGTTTCTTTTCATGTTTCTGTAGGTGATTTTTGTTTGCAGTGCAAGCAGCAAGCTTTCTCAAGTCTCAGAGCCCAGTACTTGTGTGTACTCGCTAACCTTTGAGACACCACTTGTTTGCCACCCACATTCGCTTTTAGGTAAGACGTAAGAACCATCTTACAGCACAAGGCAGCAGGGTGAGTCAGTGTTATTAAGGATTTCTTATCGTTTGTATGACTTTTTTTTTTTTTTAAAGTGTACCCGACACTGAGTGAGACGCTCCAAAAGGAATGGGATGAAGCTGAGCAGGGTCGCTATGAAGGTCTTATTACTGAGCAGGTAAAGATGAAATGTATAGGCATGCCTAGAGTTGTCTTTGTGGTGTAACCGCAGACATATAGACCTTTGTGCCAATTTCACTTCAAAGCTCAGCCCCTCTTGTTCGGCATTTTTCTTCCAGTTTTAGTACTTTCTCTTAACGTTCTTACCACTAACACACAATGCACGTTTGCTGCAGGGATACAATAATCTTTTGAAGGATATTTTTGAGGACGCTGGTCTCCTGAAGAGCCAAAAAGTGAAGAAGCCAGAAGTTACAGCTGATTCAGAAACACACAACTCTTTACAGAAGTGTACAGAGGTGTGTACATTTATGTACTTTTCCAAATAATAGCCTACAAAATCACGTATATTACAATACTGATTAAAATGTGACAAACTTTATTTTTTAAAGGATTTCCAAAAACAGAGAGAAGAGATTGAGAGACTGCACGCTCTCCTCACTCAACACAACATTCCCTTTGATTCAAAGCAAAGTAAGTGAATTCATCCAGACTGTATTCACTTTAAGTTTTATACAGAGTGTAATAAATAAACATTGTGCCATGTCATTGCTATATGTTGCAGATGAAGCTAAAGGAACAGTGGTTGCGACAGTTGAGGATCAACACCCACGGGGAGATAACGGTCTTATTGATCCAAACCAAGTCAACTCTCCATTTAAAAGCACCTGAGTGGATTTATTTTGTTGAACAATGCGAGCGACACAGACACTCGCTGGACGATATAGAATAGCAACAGCATGACGGGTTAATTCAAACAAGCCGAGAATAATTTTACTCGTGGATTTGTCAGTCGTGTTTATGACTGACAACATATGTCAACATATTGAGAAATAAAAACACTTTTAGTAAAATTTTTAGGGGAAAAAAGTTGAATGTATCTCATCAGGTTTACAAACTTCACAAGACACAATGGAGTCCCTAAAAACTGTTACAGGTGAAGATTTGTACTCTCTACTGTATTTGGTTGGTGCACTGAAAAGCTGTATGTCTTGCAGTGGGTAGGAGACACCATGACGTCCAACACTGTTTATACCTGAAGTGGATGAAGTTATTCTGATCAGTGACTTCACAGATTATGGGCTTTGACACGCACAAACATGTTTTGACTTTGCACATTCCTGAAACCTTTTACTGCAGAAGTCTCTCAGCTCTCTGTTGCATCTGTGGGGGATTTGCATCCGTCCTCGTCGGGCCATAATGGAGAAACTGGACTTATTTACATTTGGAGGTGGAAAAAAAAAAAAAAGTAACTACTGTATAACTTGCAATAAAAAAATGACGTGTAAGATTTCACACTGTATAAATATTATTCTGATGACTGATTACTACCAGGCAACAATACACACACAAAGTAGGGAAGAAAAAGCAACCTGGACACATTGAAATAAAAAAAAATTAGCATTACTGGTAATTTAATCAAAACACATCCCTTCCCTACAGGGCCACTCTGAAAGCTACATTTCAAACATGTTTAATCCCATCTGGAGACCAGGGTGATCATTCAGTCCACTGATCAACAAACATGTTTCAGTCTTTTTTCTGGTGGGCTTCACATCATTTTTTGATGGTGGTGGGTTCAGGAGAGCAGCTGGATGATTTCTCTGGCTCTGTGCGCCCTCTGCTGGACATCTCTGTCCTCTGGCGCTTGTCCTGACTCTTCAACCAGGACTAAGGCCTTCTTGACAGTGGTGTCTTTGGAACCTCCACGCAGCCCCTCCAGGTACTGGAGCAGTATGGAGAACTTCTCATCTGGAACCTGAGAGAGAGCGAGTATTTTTATATGATCATGTTGCTTGAATCCTGTGGTCTGTCTATAAGTTTACATATTAAAGTGTATAAATATAGTAATATAGTAATAAATAGTAATTATTGGTAATAAGTAAGTTAGTATATTGTTCTTCTAAAACAATGCAATGCTAAAAAGGTAGCACAAGAGAGTATCTTTAAAAGTATCTACAAAAGTGGCGACCATGCTATATTCACATAACGCAAATAAAAAAAACGGCATTCTTAAAAACATGTCATTTTATGTTATGAAGGGAGAGTGGGTGTAACTCACAAACTAATTAACAGGAAGACATGAAGGTCAACGCCTCCCTCTACTCTGAACCTCAGCTGAGTAAAATCCCCCATCATCATCATGCGTTTGCTCCGGCCTCTCTGTCAAACGTCCACCGGTGATTGTGACCAAGCTCTCACTGAAAAACTTTGCCAATCAGGCCTTCCTGCAAGATGTTGCAGCCGCGTCCTGGGAAAGAATCAATCTTATCCCCTCAGTGGAGGATGCCTGGTCTTATTCCAAAAACACCTTTAGCCCAATCATTGAGAAACACGCCCCATTGAAACGATTCCGGACGAAGAATCGCTACAGCCCCTGGTTTAGTCACGATTTGGCGGCTTTGATCCGCCTAAAAAACACCTTATGGCGGAGGGCGAGGTCTTCTCAGTCTGCTGCCGACTGGCTGGCCTTCAGACAATGCAGGAACAAAACAACACAGGTGATCAGGAAAGCTAAAATCAGTCATTTCAAAGAAGAATTCTCAGCCAGTGGCTCTGACGGCAAGAAATTTTGGAAAACAGTCAAATCCATGGAAAACAAACTTGCTTCTCCGTATCTACCCACTTCTATGATTTTTGATGACATTGTTGTTACTGATAAACAACGCATGGCCACACACTTCAACCAACATTTCGTGAAATCGTCTAATTTCTTTGATGCAGTTGCCCCTGAAATAGATTTATCTAACACGCCTACTTCATCACCCAGCGTTACCAGCTTCTCCCTTCAACCTGTTAAGGTTTCGGAAGTCCTGGATGAACTTATTAAGTTAGATTCAAACAAGTCAGCTGGTTCTGATGGGATTGACCCTGTGTTTTTAAAATCAGCCGCTCATATTATTGCTTCCCCTATTACAAGCCTGTTTAACCTATCATTTAATTTGTCTGTTTTCCCCCTTGACTGGAAATTGGCTACGATTCTTCCCCTCTTTAAAGGAGGCTCTGGCTCCAACCCGAACTGCTACAGGCCGATTTCCATTTTGCCCTGTCTGGCCAAAGTCATAGAGAAACTGGTACATAAACAACTAATTCACTTCATTGACTCAAATCATATTTTGTCTGACCTGCAGTCTGGGTTTAGGAAAGGCCACGGATGTACCACCACTACACTGAAGGTCCTTGATGATGTCATCACCGCCATAGACAACAAACAGACTTGTGTAGCTGCCTTCATAGATCTAGCCAAGGCTTTTGACTCGGTCAACCATAACATTCTCCTGCAAAGGCTTACCAGCATTGGCTTGTCCAGTAGTTGTTGCAACTGGTTTGCTAGCTACTTGGCTGGTCGTGTCCAGCGGGTGAAGACTGAAAACATCATGTCTGACCCGCTTACCATCTCTAAAGGTGTCCCTCCAGGCTCCATCTTAGGCCCTATTATGTTTTCCATTTATATTAACGATGTAGCAAAAGCTGCTGGAAATTCCTTGATTCATTTGTATGCTGATGACACCATCATATATTCAGCTGGTCCCTCACTCTACTCTGCTGTGTCCACTCTTCAACAAAGCCTCACCTCCATCCAACAGTCTCTCCACAGCCTCCACCTGCTCCTCAACCCCAAAAAGACCAAACGTATGCTGTTTGACCAGAAAAGCCTCATCATTCCCAGCCCTCCCAAGGTCTACAGTGCTGATGGCTCGGAGCTGGAGTTTGTCAGCTCCTACAAATACCTTGGATTCTGGTTGGACTCGTCTCTCTCATCTAACATACACATCAATAACCTTCTGGCTAAAGTCAAAGCTAGACTGGGTTTCCTGTATCGAAACAAGGCCTCCTTCACACACACTGCCAAATTCACCCTTGTGAAAATGACCATCCTTCCTCTATTTGATTATGGCGATATAATTTATAAAATGGCATCAAAGACCACCCTCAGAAAACTGGACACACTCCACCACTCAGCAATCCGTTTTGCCACATGTGCACCCTTCACCACCCACCACTGTGCTCTTTACAGATTGGTGGATTGGCCCTCCCTTCATACCAGGCGGCTACAACACTGGCTGCTTGTGGTCTATAAATCCATTTTGGGAATGACTCCTCATTACCTCTCAAATCTTCTGCGCATTTCTGACAGCAATCGGCATTTAAGATCCAGTGACTTCATTAGGCTCATCATTCCAAAAGTCCGTACTGTGTTTGGTCATAACTCCTTTCATTTTGCCGCTGCAAAGGACTGGAACTCATTACAAAACACACTCAAACTAACAGCTCTCACTTCTCTCAACATGTTCAAACATAAGCTGCAACAAGTTATAGTTGACTGCTGTACTTGCTGACCAGCCCTCACTTCTCTTTCTTTCTTCCATTTTTTTTTTTACAAATAACATCCAGTAATCTGCCTTTTATTTTGTACATAGTGTTTATTATTTTATCTAGGTTGTTTTTAGTCATTTTTCCATTGTTTGTTATACTGTATTGTATCTGTGGTGTTTGTGTAACTTGTGTGGACTGTGCTATTGCCTCTTGGCCAGGTCATCATTGAAAATGAGAATTGGTTCTCAATTGATTTTACCTGGTTAAATAAATAAAATAAAAATCATCACCACCACCACACTGGTTCATTTTACCTGCACGAAGTCAAACATGTGCTGCAGTAACCACGTCTGCCTGGTCTTCTGGAACTTCCACTCTGTACGGTTTTCAGCCCAGCTGCAACAACAAAATCATTGAGTTGAATTACAAGAAAAGGTGCTGATTTTTGATACCAGTTTGTTGTCCGTGTTATTATACTTGGTTGCTTTATAGCATTCACTGTATTTTCTTGCTACAATAAATAAGCTTCAGGACCCTGACCTTGAAGAGGTACTCTGAGATCTAGTGTTGGACTTTTTGTAACACAAGAGACCGATTAGAAGAGAACAGTGAAGGCAGTAGAGGCCGAGAGTTTTAGTCACTAATATGAGTAAATCTCAAAACCAGCAGATCATACACTTCCCACGATGCAACTTTGCATCTTTCATGCCTGTGCGGTAAACAGCTATCTTTCAAAGTCAATGCCCCATATTTGGGCTTTCTGTTATAATGGGGTTTTTATGGGGGGGAAAGCAACGGCTCTCCACATTGTCAACATAAGTAACCATATGTTTTGGGGGCTGTACTGAATTGCATTACATCAGTTAGGTTTTCCTGATTACGTGTATGTTTTTCTGTGAAATGTTACTCAGGATATAAGTCAGCCGTAGACAACAGGTTTAAAATGTTTTGTGAACCTTTTGTGGTATTCTGGATTTATATCATGACTGAAAAGTAAATGTAAATATGTGAATTGTTTTTAAGCCAACAACTCTTTGCTCCCCTGGTTAAGTGGATAGTGGACAGACAATATGGTTTCTTATATAACAAGTGATGACATCATAGGCAGACGGCCAACATGTGGATGCACCTGTCCTGTCCTGACTAAGAGCGTCTCTTACCAGGTGAGGTAATCTAAGGCCTGCTGAGGTGCAATGGGTCCAGATGCTTCAGCTTTCTCTAAGGTCTCTCCCTCAGTCTTAAGCTTCTTCTTCTCTTCCTTTTTAAGGATCTTCTTCATCTTCCTCTCCAGAACCCGCTTTTCCTCAGGGCTCAAGTCCTCCTCGCCCTCCAGCTCGTGTGTCTGTCAAACCAAAGCAAACCAAAGGCTCATGGGAGTTCTTACTGACATTAACAGGCCCTCTACCTTGCATAAAACCATTATCAAACATCCTTAAATAACCGGCGCGACCGACTGTGATGGAATGATAAGAAGAATGTTAGAATAATAATTCCACTTTTGTGTTCTGATCAGACATTTCCTGCCATTTTACAGTTTTCTGGGTCAATACAGAGGTAATGCTAGATGCCTCAAATATTTTCGATCTCTTTCGAGTTCTCTCTTACAGTACTCTTACAGTAAAATGTAAAATAAATGTGACCTGTTTTTGTGCAACAGTGTAAAGACACGTGGAAGCTGAAGCACTTTTTTGAGCTTGAATCACTTCCTGTAGCGCTGCAGTTCAGAGGGATGGTGTTTCCTGTGTCTGCAGGTCAGAATCGCACGTTTATACTGTGTGAAGTTCACTGCAGTGTGCAGCATCCGTTCAGCTTTGCATTTGAAGCACTCACTCTTATCTACAGCACACGTTTGCACTGTTTAAAAACAACAACAACCTCTGTTGCCTAATCATACAGAGGAGCCAAAAAAAAAAGGTGTGCAAGTGAATTTTCAATCTAAACAAGAATTGGATTTCAGTTTATTTTTTGCTTCGTAACAGGGTGAAATGAATTATTATTTAAACCTACTGGAAAGAGAAATAAAGAATCAAATTCGAGCCGTTTTGCCTCAGTAGCCAGTAACTGCAGCGCAACTTAAAGACTGCGGTTAACTCTCACTGGAAGTTATACAAGGGATATAGTATGCTCTGATTAAACAGACCTTAGTCTGCACAGTGACGAAGGAAAAAAAAAGGAGGGAGGGAGGGGAGGAAAAGATTTGATCACATGGCCACGAAGTCATTCTGAAAATATGCTGGCGGTGTATTGCCCACAGAAATATTAAAAAGTCCTTCACAGCGAGCGTCCGTGTCGATGCAACGAGCATCATTGTCAGAGCTTTGAGTCAATCGGCAGCATCGGGCTGGTGGATACAACACAGGAGAGGAGTGGGTGACGAAAGCAAAAATGGTAAGTGGAAACATGTGTTCTCACAGAGCGGGCTCCTCAAAGGGGAGCAGACAAAGACGGGGCATGTGGTCCTAGAAAGATTTTAAAAAGAAAACAGTTCTACGAGATTAAAATTAAAATTTGGTCTCAACTTTGAGTTCAATTTAGGAAGAAAATGCACTAGGTTGTGTAAGAGTATGTTCCTGTGGAAAACCCACAGGCTAACCAACCGTAAACACTGTCGAAAAGGTATTTTTAAAAGACTGCTGATTAGAGTTTGATACTTAAACGTGCTGCAGAGAACAGGATGTCATCAGCAGGCGTTTCCTCTTTTCATTTTCAGTCTAATCGCAGCGTGGACTTGGTCCCCACCACACCTCCATTTTCCAACAGTTCCCCCGTCTTGGAGACCTCCACTTCAGCAGTTTCCTCCATCTCTGACATAATTGCACCCAGTGACATTACCTACAATGTCTACAGTTTCTTGGCGGGGTTAGGCTTCATGGCAGGCTGCTTCCTGGTCTACAGCTTCATCCAGACCTACAGGGCCCAAAGGCGGCTGGCTTGGCTCGACTGCCTGCTCTGGGCCTTTTGTGTCCTCCAGCTGCTGCTTCTGCTCCTCTCTCTCCACGCAGTGGCCCACAGAACTTATTCCCCGATTACCACGGGTTTGGGCTGTGCTGCTCTCTCCTTCACCATCAACACAGCCTCTCTGTGCAGCCTGTTGGTCTTAGTGCTCATGGCTTATGTCCTAACCCTGGATCCGCCATCCCACGCGCTGCTGAGGAAGCCTCGGGTCTGTGCGGCTCTGGTGATCCTGACTTCTATCCTGATTTCTCTCCTGCTGGCTGGGCTCCGCGGACCTGGGGATGATCTGCAGGAAAAACGCGAATGTTTCATGGATACAGTCCTTGCTGGTGTGTCGTATGCAGCCGCTAGGTTGTGCCTGGCTCTTTTGATTCCCTACATCCTCCAACTGGGTCTTGTGATAGGTGGCTGCGTCCGGCAGTGGAAATCTAAAGGACGTTTCCTCTCCGGTTCCGAGGAGGGTCCCTTGTTCCTGACAGTCACTTTGGTCGTGTTTTTCTGCCAGCTCTTCTACAGCGTGGCGCTGGTGAGAGGAGCACAACTAAAACAACAAGAGCGGCTGAGGGAGAAAGTGTTTCTGAGCGTGGCCGAGTTTGTGCTGTTCTCAGGGAGCAGTGCCAGCCTCCTGCTCATGCTGTTCATGCACAGGCCGTGTCGAGAGAGTCTCCACGGGGCGTGTAGGCAGCTGAGGGACTGCTGTCGGAGCCCGGGGCACTCACAACCAAACAGAAACATCATAGCTCCCCACATCGAGATCACAGACACTCTGCAGGACATAGAGTCATAGAGGAGTGAGACTCTCTCTCATATGAGAGCAGAACTCTTCCGATGCATCGAAATGAAGACTTTTGAAATATGATGTCTTAGATATATTCTGAATCTAATTTTTAATATTATTTTAATGCTTTTTTTTTTTTTTTTTACTTAAGTGACAATTTAAAGATTTTTAAATGCATGCATTCTCCTTTTTAGTGTCTCCAGTGTCAGAGTTTGCAAAACTGTTTTAAAATTTACTTTTTTTGTACTTTTCTTCCCAGAAAATTGTTTTTTGCTGTACATCTGCAGAATAGTGCAACATGGACAGTTTTTACAATCACTGTTGCAATAATAACTATATCTAGATTCTATATATTAACTATGATTGAGACCATTAAACAACAACTTACTGTTTGTAGTAGTGTACTGTTTTTTTCCTCCTGAACCTGCTCTTAGTTGAACCCCTTTTCTCGCAAAACAGACTCCGTTTTCATAAACACAATTTGCACAAAAGCCCCTCGAGACAAATCCCCAAATGACACGTAGGAAACATTTAGTCAAGGAAAATAAAAGTCACTCACAAGCTTAGGCCAACAGTGTCAATATTTTTTCACGTCATTATTTCTAGAGCTGTTAAAAACACCAAAACAAGGCAGACAAGCGATACTCTGAACTTTCCAACCTCTTTCAAGAAGTCGATGGGCACCAGTTCTAGGAATAAGTGACCTGCATGGATCACATTGGTGCCAACACATGGTGGTACGAAGCCAGGGACCAGTAGGAAAATTCACACTGGAATTTCAGACTTTAACACCGTGTAAAATCATAGTAACAACACTTAAAGTCAAAGATGAAAATATGCTACTTCTTTTCGGAAAGTCACAAAATCATCAAATGCAAAACGTGACGCATTACAGTATTAACATGGGAACTCTTCTGCAGTCTCAAACAGCTTCCTGCAAACCAACTTTTGGTTTTATGGAGTCTAAAGAAAAGAAATGATGAAGTGAGACTGTCATTCATCTTGTTTTGTGTAAATAAACTGCGTCTGCGTTTGCTTAAAGTCCCCTGGCTCCCATATTTATATATTTTAACATTCTACAATCATAGTCACGTTCACACTTCAGTGTCAGTGTTGACAAGTTGGCTCTGTGTGCTATCTTGACATAATTTATGCAATAAAATTAGGCCACATAAAAATACATAGGGGTCATTCACTGTGACAACGTAAAGTATTGCTAATAAACTGAGAAGCTACGATGAAAAAAATGTTTTCATGTTTGGCTGAAAAGATACGATGTGTATGTGTGTGTGTGTGTGTGTGTGTGTGTCGGCCTGCCTGCATCGTTTCCTCTCGCTGTGTGTGGTGGGTGGCACCAAAACGCTTCTCTTGGTTTAATGCGACACCTGCTTTCAAAGTCACGGGGAGGATTAGAAAGACGCAATGCAGGGCAAGGAAACTCAGGTACGTTTTTATATGAAATTACAAAATAACTTATATCAAAGCTACCTGACTTTTATCGTTTTCAATCTAAAGTATCTGTAAATAAACCATTAATATGATCAACAGTTAGTCTGAAGCAACTGTAGCATAACAAGTATTCTGACTTTTTGAAGTCTTTCTGGGCATTTCATGCCTGTATTCTGTACGAGATAGTAGAGAGAAAACAAGGAGAGAGAGAGAATGGGACCATCATGCAACAAAAGTCCCCGCTCAGACTGGAACCAGAGACACTGCAGTTTATGGTTGGCGTCTTTAAACCCTAGAATACCAGGCGGCACCACTATTGCGATTGTCTATCAAAAAAAAAAAAAAAAAAAAAAAAAAAAAAAAAAGTATTTTCACTTTGATGCATTCTCCCCAATCTTCACTCTGAAATCATTTTTAGAAATGCTGCACTTTTTTAAAACAGAAACAGCTAAACTATAAGACAAATATTCATTAATCCCAAATTGCCCATAATGATCATTAACTAATATAGAGTATATTCAGTGTTGTCATTTATTGATAATATAAACAGAGGTTTTTGTCTCCTAAAAGTCTATTGAGTCAAACTTAATCCAACTCCTGCGACGCTGAAAACACGCTCGACTTACTGCACTTCTCTCTGTCTAGTTCAAAGAGTGGTCATCACTACACATCCAGGAAGACGACACAGATGACACCACAGTCTGGAGTGGGGCTGAAGCCTTGGAAAAGGGCCACTACTAACACCTGATCAAGTGTAATACGGACACAACCATGTGCGTGGACCCTATAGTTTTCACTGATCACACAAATGACACAAAGGCCGTCATCTCTGATTTCCTGCAGGCAGCGTCAGAGAGTAGGCAGCTGTATATTATCAGCCTGTTCCTCTCTAGCCTCTACATCATATTACTGTTCCCTGTCGGCTTGTTAGGGAACATCCTCATCTTAGTGGTCAACCTGAACCCCAGCAGCCGCTTGACGGCCCCAGACCTCTACTTTGTGAACCTGGCCGCGGCCGACCTCGCCCTTGTGGCCGACTCTCTGATCGAGGTGTTCAACCTGAAGCAGGGCTACTACGACAAGCTCGGCCTCTGCACCTTCATGAACCTCTTCCAGCAGGTCAACATGTACAGCAGTGTCTTCTTCTTGACCTGGATGAGCTTCGACCGGTTTGTGGTCCTGACCGGCTTCACGGGGCGCAGCATGCCGCACGCACGCCTCAGCTGCTGCCTTATCTGGGTGTCCTCGTCTTTGCTCACCGTGTTTCCTTTTGCTATAGCTCAAAGGCAGCACATTGGAGAACTCCACTTCTGCTTCGCGAACGTCACCCAGATTCAGTGGCTGGAGGTGATAGTGGGCTTCTTGCTGCCTTTCTGCATTTTGGGTCTGTGCTACTGGAGGATAGCGCGGGTGCTCCAGAGGAGTCAGAGGGGCCAGGATGGCCAACAGCAGAACCCTCGCAGGCAGAAAGCCCTGCGGATGATCTCAGCAGCCGTGTTAGTCTTCTTCCTCTGCTGGCTTCCAGAGAATGTGTTCATAAGTTTTCACCTCCTAAGAGGTGAGGCAAACCGTGGCACACTGTGGCAGGACTACCCCCTGACAGGTCACGCTGTCAGGCTGGCGGCCTTCTCCAACAGCTGCCTGAACCCGCTCATCTACAGCTTCCTTGGGGAAACTTTTCAGGAAAAACTGAGGAGCAGATGGGCCAAGCTACACAGATCGGCCTCGGAAAAATCTATCTATGTACCAGCTGCGAGCACATGTGGCCAAGCAAAATGCGTCAGACCAAGCCAGTCCACAAATGTAAGCTCCACGATCCCTCCACAAACTGTTCTACTCCCCTCAAATAAATACCAGCTGCATACTGTAAGTCACACAGACAATAGATGACACTGTGTCTGTGCCGTCAGTGTAAAGTCGTCATTAAAGGACAACGTAAAAGGAAGGACTCCAGCTGTTGTGGAAACGCTTGTGTTGAATCAGTTAATTGAGACTTATGCACATTTATTGGGAATTTTGACATTGTTTTGAGGGGTTTCTTCTACTTGAATCAATATAGATTTCCGCTTTTTAAGACATTTCTGATGCCACCTGAAATGCAACATCAGACCATTTTTTTCCCCCAATATAAATTATTTTAGTAATATAAACTATAGCTGCACTAAATTGTATTTTTTCAGCACCTTAACCCTTGCTTTGCGGACTGTGTTATTACCAGCACATGATATGATTTTTCTGTATGAAGCAACACCAATCAGCAGTCAGAGTTCACCCGAGTACTCAGAGAAACAGCGAACACACTTACCTCAGTTTGCTTTGTCTTCTGTCTTTTCTTTTGTTTTCGATCACTGGTTGTAATTTTCACATCAGGAATTTGTACTGGAGCCTCCTGGATTAAATAAAAAAATCATTCTTTACTATTTTAAGCAATTTCATTTTGTGTCATCTGAAACAGGAACAGGTCCGATGGACTGTGTTTCTCACCTCAACTTCCATCTTTTTCTTTTTCTTTTTTACTTTGGTCTCCATCGTTTCTTCCACATGAACCGTGACATCTGAACTCAATTTCTTCCTTTTTGCCAGATTTGTCAATGATTTGTCTTTGGCCATGATTTAATGTTTTCCTACAAACAAAAACATGAGCACGTAACTAAAGAGCAGGAACACATGGACAGACAATAACTCTCAGTGAGGCTTTTGCATACTTAATTTGCTGAGAGAAATATTTCAGGACACTAAAACAGAGAACTACAACTACAACTGAATGTGAATACGCAACACATGTAAACCGTTTTTCACAGCCAAAAACACACGTCAGCTGGTTACTTTTCGACGGCCGCCACATAAGACGCTAAATCCGCTCAAACGTAATCATGGACCAAACATGTATTGAATTACATTGCTATTAAACACATTTATACTTACTTTAACTGCGAAGAAAGCGTGTAGAAATCTGAACAGCACAGATCAAGCACGTGAACTCAACCAGGAAGTGATGTTGCATAGGTGACTCGTGATTGGACAGATATCGCTCTTTGTTTTGCGATTGGTCGACAGAGATGTGACGAAGTGACTGCTTCAGTAGCCCTCAGCATCTGTGGTTATCACATAGTATATTATATACTATAAATATATATTATATTATAAAAAAAAAACAAGAATTGCAAGTGGTTCGGAAATATGTTTCTGCAGAAAAAGGCAATAATATTGCAGCATTAAAATAAAAAGAAGAAAACAGTGAATTTAATGCTGAGTTGTTACAGTGTGAAAACATAAAGCAGCTGATTAGGACTGAAATTATAATAAAAAATGTTAATACAGTTTTCGATGTGCCTCTCAAGCCAAAACATGATATAAAATTGAGTTGAAAGGTTAAATATTGACTTTAGTAACAGCATTTGGAAAAAACTATTTCACTTACAAGGTAATCTACAACTGGGCCAACTCTATCTACTGCTTAAGATTGTGTAATATGATCGTAAATGGACCCTAAAGTAAAATGATGCCAAACGATATAGATGATATTGTTATTCGCAAAACATCAGATATAGACTATTCTGGCAAAAAAGGTTTAATCCTCACATGTTAATAATAACAGTATAAAATAGTAGTAATAACAATAATTTCGATGAAACAATGTGGAGTGATTTTAGAAATCACTATAAATCTTAGTGGAACGGTCCTAACCAGAGTTCAACAGCGACATCGGACCCACTTCAAGGTTGCACCACGATGAGTTCTGTGACCTCAACGAGGTGCGTTTTGTAAGAAAACCCTCAGTTTATTTTAAATAACGTCACGTGTCCTAAGATGACCAGTTGTCCGAGATGTCTACAACAACAGGACGAGTTTTCGCCGGTCTGATGAGAGCTTCTTTCAGTCGAGGGATATTTGTTAGAAACGCTCCACCGACTGCTGGGTGAGTCTATAGAAACCACGTTGAATCTGGAGTAGTGGTGCGGTTCAATGACAAGGTGTAAACGGTTCTGTCTAATTCTGTGACCTACCGATAATGTGTAATTTAAGCTATGTTGTCACTGCTAACATTTTTAGGTATGGTCACATATGATTAATACCTGTAAGTTAGTCTACGAGCAAAAATGGAGCTTCCGTAGTATCTAGAGTCACAAGTTTTGGTCATTATATATATATACACAAATAAGGTCACAAATGATAATCAGTTCCGTCTTTAACCTGATCGACATTTGAACACCATGAAAACGTTATAATTTTCACCTGATACTATTGATTACTGTAGAGACCCTGAACGCACCATGATGCGACTCACCGTAACCTCTAGAATCACCGGCAAATCCTGCAGGTTTAACACGGACTAGAAGGCGTTAATGACTCAGATCATATCGAATAATAGTGGCTGCCTCCATAGGATATGTTTTATAATTCACTGTGAATGGAGCAGTTATTGGAGACATGTAAATTGGTGTACAAAATTATAAAAATAGTAGATCCTGACAGATACCAGATTGAGGCTTCTAGGCCAGTTTCAAATATTCAAAGTACTGGGTAGAAAAACTGCTCCTATTAATATATTTGTGTACAGTTCATTTTAAGTACTTTATATGAATACAGTAGGGTTGTTGGATAACAATAAATTTGATTAACAGTCATTACTGATGTACTTTTGTTGGCAGAGTAAATAGTGTGCGCCCCCTGGCTCTGAGCTCTAAGACATACGCAGAGTCCAAAGATGGTGATGAAGAGGTGAACAATGAGCCCCTCAAGTTCTCCACCAGTAAAGCCAGTCACCGAACCTGGAAAGTGGACCGCTCCATGGGGAGCCAGTTTCAGCGGCCCTGGTGGAAAGTCCTCCCCATCAGCCTGTTTCTAACAGGCTTTCTACTGTGGTGTGCATTGAGAGGCCAGACAGACATTGATGTACAGCTGGAGAAGCAGCTGTATGAACGTTTACCCGGCTTGCTTTCCGATGAAGCGGAGAAGGAAGAAGCTCACGATAAATAAAGTTAACCAATGTGGGACTTCAGATGTATATATATATATTTCAGGTTATATTTATTGTGAAAAGTGTTATTCCATTGCTAGGACAACACTGAAAGTGTAGCAGTGAAGCCGTCCAGTGCAAAGGAACTTTTCCGTTTCCAAGTTCAGACCACACACTGCCTTCTTCCAAATTTCTGTTGATTTGGTTGAAACATGGATTAAAAATGTAAAGTCAATGAATTGGGTTTCACCTTGTTTTTCAATCAATGCATTTTAGTAACAATTACATTTGAAATACAACATTGCATCAACAACCCCAACTTAATTTATGTGAACATGTAAATTTTGCCCCACAAATCTCCTTATCCAAATGTATGCATTTAGACATCAATGCAGTCACTAATTTGAGGTAGCGGAAAGTTTATTTACAGCACAACAAGAAATCCTACAACATGCACACAGGATTAAATGGTACAGAGTCTAAAATAGATTTGCAAACCTGAGAAAGGCAGTGGGGTATTTAGTTTTTCAGATATGAAGCTCTACAGTAAATAGGACAGTCAAGGAGAAAGTCAAGAGTAAAATGAAGTACAAAAAGAAAAACATGCCTGAAACTACACATGACAAATTAGGAGGTACACATGCTGGTAATAGTTCCAAGATTTACAAAAAACAAACCCCAGTCACACCCACCCACCCCCCCACTAAAAAGATAAAATCCAAGCAATCATTTATGCACGCTCTCCTCGAATTCGCCTGGCCAGCTGAATGTCCTTGGGCATGATTGTGACTCTCTTTGCGTGAATAGCGCACAGGTTGGTGTCCTCAAACAGACCAACCAAGTATGCCTCACTGGCTTCCTACATGGAGAAGAAACAAAGTTATTTCTTAAACCTAGCCTCTAGGTAGGTACCCTCAAAAAAAAAAAAAAAAAAAAGTAGTGCAACAACAATGAATGACATCTCACCTGCAGGGCACCAATAGCTGCACTCTGAAAACGCAGGTCGGTCTTGAAATCTTGAGCGATTTCTCTCACAAGGCGCTGGAAAGGCAGCTTCCTGATGAGCAGCTCGGTAGACTTCTGATAACGACGGATTTCACGCAGAGCAACGGTACCGGGCCTATAACAAGGGATGTGACGCTTTAGGACCCGAAACCACAACAGTTTTCATTATTGCATTTCAGATAGTTGCATTGTTATTAGTTGCCTCAGTCCTAGTTACAGCAACAGCAGACTGCAATCACAATGGCCTTACTACAACACTAACACAAATCTCAGCATGTATGAACATGTGTAACATTACCTGTATCTGTGGGGCTTCTTCACGCCACCAGTGGATGGCGCGCTTTTCCTTGCAGCCTTGGTGGCCAGCTGCTTCCTAGGCGCCTTTCCTCCGGTGGATTTACGAGCGGTCTGCTTGGTACGAGCCATATTTCACCTGCAGGTCTGAAAACACAACAAAAGATCAGACCAACAACGAATTCAATTTCAAAAAGTGTTGTCTTCGATATTTAAATCATTACAGGTCCGAGCCACTTGCCCTATCCACTGCAGCAACGTCATCGTTGACACTCTTATAATGACCTACATCCTCGAATAGAATATAACTTTACCTACAACAATTCCTGTCTTATTTTCAGTAGTAACCTTACTAAAGCTAAGCGAGCGTATTGTAAACTGCAACTCGTTTGCCAGGGGACGCGTCTTGATGTGCAGATAGTGTAACCTCTACCGACACACCGATGGTTTAAATTAAACAAAACAAGCCCGTCTACAGCGGTGCCACCATTAAGCCACAGTGCACATACACGTTTCTTTGCCGTCGTTAGCAGAATTAAAAGCTAGCTTCGACCGTTGCAAAATGGCGCCAGCTAGCTACAGATACCGGTAAGGCTTAAGAACATCAATATTTAAGACAACATCTAAACCAATTTGACCCACCATTCAAGTGAACTAAACCGTAGTTGTACGCTGAATTGAAATAACACGAGTTTCTTGATAAGTCAAGTTTGTACTTAGCATCACAAATGTAGCCAACATTAGCCGACTGGCAATGGCGCGCGCCGTTTTGTTGTCAAGAGACTCTCGATAACCGCTAGTCCAGAGCCGTGTTTTAACGTTTCTAACGACCTGGAAATTAAACTACAGTATATAGTTGATGGAAATAAACACAGAATGTAGAAAAACACAACAAAAAAGCCGACACTCTCACGTTACCTTTAGTGTTTCTGTTCCGGTTTGACAGTGTAACCACTTTGCACGTCGGTCTCCAATACTAAGCGGAGGGAGCGTGAGATGGTATTTATAGTCTGAAAGGAGCGGCACTTGAAGTCCCGCCCCCGAACCAACACGATTGGTCCAAACTCAAATCCCGACGGAATGTGATTAGTGGAGGGAATAAGGACGAACACTGCCTCTGATTTTAAGTAGAATGAGCATGCATACTGAAGTGCCTTCTTTGGGGGTATCGACATGTTTTTGCATTCATTCATCAACCGGAAACTGCTTCTTCTTAATCCGCACAGATTTGAAATAGGTTTTTTGTTCTACATCTTTAGGATTAATCAATTTCATAAAAGTGTAGTGCTCACCGAGCTTCCTTTCTTAAAAGGGAACAATGATGTCATGTGAAAAACAACTGATATGAATGCTGTGTAGAACTGAGTAAGCTTCAATAGTGGATTGGGAAAAGCGTGGACATGTCAGGTGATAATACACACATCTGTTGAGAATGCACTTGCACACCCTCCGTTTCTAGCACAAGCCAGCTGTTTTGAGTCTATAAAACTACATGTGGCTATAATCTGAAAATAAAACAAAAAGAAGAAATGAAAGAAAAGGAAATAAAAAGCACCTGGCATTGTGTGAAGACCTGTGCTAGTACCTGTGCTAGTAATGAACTAAGTCATCTTTATCATCATACATTGTTACAGCCTGTTTATGATTGCAAACTACTCTAGTTTACTGTTGTCATCTTTTTATTGCTTAATGTTTTATACTTTAATTTCTTCTTATATTCTCTTGTACCTTAATTTAGTTTTTTATTTTGTTGTTTTTCAGGCCGTACAAATTAAATAGCTAATTAAGCCTTATTTTCATATTTATTTGGAAGTTAATCCGTTGTTTCCTTTATCCCTATATTCACTCATTATCCATGCCTTTATTTTTCATCTACGAACACATCAAGTGAGTCTGTGTATGTATCTGTTAGTTTATAGTGATTCAAATATTGTTTTTGTCAATCCACTCACTCATAACTGGGTCACAAGAATACCATCAAGCGGAACGACAATCGTTGGGGAAATTTCACCAGACGGACTTATTCTCATGTGACACCGATGGTACATTTTCCTGAGCGCAACGCTGAACAGAAAATGTAAGTATTTCACAAATATTGACTTAAAACGTGAGCCTGCACCGCCGAGCAAGTCTGTATTCCTGAAGCGTCGATCTAAATATTTCAGTCTAACAGATGCCTTTCGACGGAAAACCTGCAACGCTGGACGTGATAGCATGGCAGAGGAAAGGCTGCTGTTTATAGGTACATCAAATATTACTCAACACAAGCTAAATGCATTCCCTACGAGCCTTGCTGTATGCACGTGTGGTCTATTGTAGGAAAAAAAATGTATTTTAATCCTTTTTAGTCTTAAATATATTTGATTTAACTGAAATGACCGATCAGTTGTGGGTTTAAAATGTTTCAATGACGTTGGATTATGTCATACATTTGTGTGTCTGTTACAATTAAAGTAATTTAAATGTAATTTAAAGTCAATGCCCCAAGAAGTATGTTATTCATATGTTTGAGTGTGTGTTCAACAGATATTGAACCAAACTCAAACAGCTCAGGTCCTGTCGACGACAGAGCTGAGAAGCCCCTCGACACTTTCAGATTTAACTTCCTCCCTGACAACGCTCCAGCACTTCAAGAGAAACCATCTCCATCAGTCAAACCAGGAGTGAGCCAAATATCCTCTACAGGACAGGGCGCTGCTTTTGCCTTCAACTTTCAATTTCCTCCTGTGGAAAACATGGAGACGACAGAGAGCCCAGACATTTCCTCTCCAAGCAGGCAACACGGTGTCCAAGAGGAAAAGCCTTCCCCACTGCAGGAGGTCAACTCTCCACCTGAGCCGTCAGCGGAAAAATCAAAAGCGAAGAAGAAGAAGAAGAAATCTGGAAAGAAAAACCTCTCTGACAGCGCGGAGGCACAGCAGACGGCAAGTCCAGCTGAGGGGAGTCAAGGCGGCAAAGACGCAGAGCCGGTCAGTCGGAAATAATTTTCTTTAAAAGTGATCGTAGCGGGTTCAAGTTGATTTGATGTGTGAATGTGACCGTGTGTGTTTCAGAGTGCAGAGGAGCAGCTGAACAGACAGCTGGACTGGTGCATGGAGCAGCTGGAATTGGGAATGGGGTCCCAAAAGAGTACACCAAAACAGAGTATGACGTTTACCTTCACACAAAATATGTTTGGAGTATTATTACTCAGTCCATGATGTGCTGAGGTACACATGTGAAGCCTAGTGTGAACACTTTGTAGTATTACAAAGGGCGGTAAATGCATTTGTATAGCATATCTACATACAGCACACATGTTAATACCATATTTTTTCCATGCAGAAGAGGAAGCCTCTCGTGGCCTGAAGACTCTACGGAGCTCGAAAGCTCCTCTGGCCAAGAAGAGGCAGGTGATGAGAGCCATGACCGGAGATTACAGGAAAAAAATGGATGAGGAGAAGAGCAAGCAGTACAAACTCATTCAGAGTGGTGAGTGGATCGTAGCAGTAGAGTGATATGACCAGTAAAAAAATAACTAATTAACTGTGAAAGAACTTTTTAAGTTGGGTTGAAATGCTGTTAACTGAAAGATTTCTCTAATCCCAACAGAAATTGCTTCAGCTCAGGTCAAAGTTGTTTCAGATTCTCCAAAGAAGTCATTTTTCCACCGGAGAGCTGAGGTCAAAAAGCAGACACCAGCCACAGAGGAGAACCTGGATGCTGCCCAGGATACAGACCTGAAAGCACAGACGCAGGAGCAGACGTCAGCTTTTGTCTTTACTTCATCAAAGGAGGAGTTTCACTTCAATTTTCTCTGATTTGCACCCAGGAGACACCATACGTCATGTTGGACTGTGACTGTGGGCTGCATTGGAAATAATGGGAGAAAAACAACTGCTTTTAGCTGTTTTAGCTGCATGTAGCGAATATCTAAATAAAGGATTTTGTTTTTATAAAAAGTTGCTTGGTAATTATTGCTTTTATACATGTCAAACCTCTGAAGGGGTAGTTAGTAAGTGGCAGTCTGAATATGAACATTTATATTCACAACATCATCCCCAAATACATTTATTAGTTGAGAAAATGTTTTGTGAACAGTCACTTAATCATAGCATTACAGTGCCATTCATTAGTTAGCTTGTGACAACCCAAATAAAGCTGTCTACTTGTGACCAATCTTTAGTTTGGACTGTGAGTTTATCTCGTATCCCTGATCTGCTGATTCATCAGATATTTTTAGGGATCCCTTGAGGGGTTTAACCCCCCGGTTGGAAGCCAGTGCCCAAGACTCGAACACTCGGAACGATCAGATTCGTTGGCACGAATAAACTGAATGTTTCCTAAAGATCAATTCAAAGTGTTTAATACTAAACAAGTCAGTCATTACTATATATTAGTGCATGCCTTGTTGAAAGAGTTTAGCAAAAACGTCAGCGTTTAAACAGGAAACGGTGGGGGGTGATTCAACACGAGCACAATTGAGCGTGACACACAAAACAAAAAAGTGTCAGCCGCTGAGAAAACAAACTAACGGTACCTGTTGACTGTAAGTGTTTAACTCTAGCTATTCGCACATATTGTAACACATTGGTTCGTTCAGTCTCGTCATGTGAATTGGTTTCCTCTGTAGTTTATTAGGGAGGTGTGTAGTAGTTCACACCGGGGGCTAACATTGAGCTAGCTAAAGAGCAAAGCTGGAAGCTGCAGCTAGTAAAAGGCTGTAAGTAGAGAGCAGCTGAGGACGAACATGTCTCATTTAAAGAGGGAGAACTAAAGGAGACACTTAGGAAGACAAGGGAACGATGAACTGTGTTACCGTTACATGATGAAACATTGAACTAACGTTCAGTATGGAGGGACTAAATAAGTTACTGCTCTTTTTAAAATAAAGGTGAAAATCAAGTTGAAATGTGGGGTATGAAATAGTGATTTGAAAAAAAATGTTCATCTGAACATATATGGGTTGTTTGCATATTAATCACAAATTAAACCTCTTATCTTCAATCTTGGTGCTTATTCTCAGGGCCACCTCTGTTTTCAGGTGTGTGGAGGGACACGAGGTACAAAATGTCTGAGCTAAGCGACGAAGCCAGTGAATCAGAGCAGCTGGGTGCCAGCCTCTCCCTGTGGCTCGGTGACTCCCTGGTGCGACTCGAGGAGCTGGACGTTCCCCTGGACCTCCACACCGCCTGCTCCATCGGCCAGTATGACGTGGTGGCAGAGTGCATCAAAAGGTGGGTGCCTAAATAATATCACTATCACCAATGCCAAAGGGCTCACACCTGAACTCAATCCTTAAATAGGCTCCGATTATTTACTGCTCGCCAAGCTGCTCTTCACAACAAAGATCTTGTGTCCTTTTCAGACGTGAGGTGGACCTGAATGGCAAGAACATCGGCGGATGGACCCCACTGATGTATGCATCTTACATCGGCCATGACAACATTGCAAATCTCCTGCTGGAGGCCGGTGTGAATGTAAATGCGACCACTGCCAAAGGGTTAACCCCCTTGATGCTGGCAGCAAGCTGTGGGAATGAAAGCATCGCATACTTTCTGCTGCAGGTAACAGTAACAGTTCATGCCACGCTCTGTTGGCGTGTTCAGAAAACGGCACATGTTGAGATAAGTTTTTATTCATGAATGCAAAAATCACCACGCAGCATATTCACACTTCAGTGACAAAATGAAACCACGCAGAGTGATTGGAGGGTTTGGTGCTGATAAGTGTTGCATTCATAAGTGTTTTTCAAAATTAAACTCAGAATGCAAACGGTAAGCCAACACCAACAACAACACAAATGTTTGGCAGCTTATTCTCAAAACCCAGAATGTTCAATGAGGCTTCTTGTTTTTTCTCACCCCAAAAGCAAGGTGCAGAGCTGGAGCTGAAGGACTCTCGAGGCTGGACCGCTCTGTTCCACTGCACGAGCACAGGCCACCAGCAGATGGTCCGGTTCCTGCTGGATAACAACGCCGACGCCAGCGTCAAGTGAGTGTCTTCATTCATCCCAGAAGCACTGCAGCACTCCAGAGTTTCAGCCACAGTTTGTCATTTCTTTTACTTTCATCCACAGGGAGCCGGGGTCTGGTTTCACCACCCTGATGGAGGCGGCTGCTTCTGGACATGAAATCATTGTTCAGTACCTGCTTGATCATGTGAGTGGGTTACATTGGCACACCACTGAGGATGGGTGATGATGACGTTGCACAACAAAGATAATGCCTTATGATCATGACACCGGCTTTGTTTTGATCATTTATAGAAAGTTAAAGTGGATGACCGTAACAGCAAAGGAGAGACTGCCCGTGCCCTAGCCATGCTATACGGCTACACCAAGATCATCAGCCTCATTGATTTACATTCTCCAAGGACCAAACCAGGTCCTCATTGCTTATTTTTTACTAAATATGTTGTTATCCCATGTCTTTTATATTTTCTAAGATTGTTTTTCTGTGTGTGTTCCAACCCATCAGGACATTTTGAAGACCTGAGCTCCTCCGAGGACTCGGACAGCGCACCGCCGCGGACAAGGCCAAGTCGCAACCGAGCTAAAGGCGTTAGCATCCACGACGGGCCCCAGGCCATTGCCAAGTTCCGAGTAGGAGGCACCAGCAAGCTGTGTGGTACTGTCACATGAGATATCCTGTCTGCCAACAACCTGTATCCTTACCAGTCACATGTGAAGAGTATCTAGTACATACAGTTAATTCATAAATATAGTCCGTTTGTTAATACTACTTTTCTCCTCACAGAGCCTCCTGCAGCGCCGCCTAGCTCAATGCCGGTGAGTGATATCGGAGACCAAAGTGAGGGTATCCGCTACCGCGATGTGACCTCGCCCATAAACGAGCTGGACGGCCAGAGCAACAGCAGCAGAGGTGAGAGGCACACAATCACGAGTGCTCTGTGACATCGGAAATGTGTCTTTGGAAGAAAGGCCCCCCCGGGAGACACACCGCAATGTGATGTAACTAATGTCCACTGGGTGTCTGCCAAAGCAATCCAATATTTTTATGATGCCCCCACAGATGACAGTCCGTTCTTCGAAAATGACATGCCCACCATGAGGAGCAGCAGCAGCAGTAGCGAAGGCGTGCCTCCTGCGGCTGCCCTCAACTGGGAAGGCTCGGTGGAGAGTAACGAGGTGAACGCAAGAGCTCGCCAATTTCACTTTGGAGTCTTGACACCAGATTGTGTTTAGATCTCTCTCTGTGACACGGTGTTCCTCTCTCCACCAGGACTCGGACCAGTGCAAAAAGAGCAGCTCTCGCAGAGTAAACAAGGGCCACCACTCAAAAGGCAAGAGTCGCCACGGAAGCCACGATGCGTCTCACTCAAGCGGTACAGGGAACTGTGGGTTGCTCTCACATGGTGGTCTCCCACCCTCTTACGCTGGTCCAAAGGCATGTCTACCGTTGCTTACTTTCTGATGTATTCATAATTCGACCCCTACTGGTGTGTGTGCGTGCGTGCGTGCGTGGCCAGTCTATTCTGGTCTGACTTGGGTCTAACATCTTATTTCTGTAGGATCTGGCAGAGTTCTTGGAACAACTTGGCTTTTCCAAGTATCTCCCTGTTCTTGAAGAGCAAGACATTGACCTGCGGATATTTCTCACCTTGACTGAAAATGATCTCAAAGAAATAGGGATCACGTGAGAGACTCTTCCACACCAACCCCAGTGCATTACAAGCCTTTTGTTTGAACTCGTGAAATGCTGACATCCGTTCTCACACTCCAGATTGTTTGGACCCAAGCGAAAGATGACCTCGGCTATAGCGAGATGGCACAGCAACGCGCGACCACCCAGCGACGCCCTGGAACAGGCTTACGCAGACCAGCTCGAAGCCGAGATGCAGGAGATGGCCATTCAGCTACACAAAGTAACAGCGATGCAAAAACGCTCGCCGTAACTGCCGCACAAATGTCACATTTCTGAAAAATCTTTCTCCCCCCCCCCCCCGTTAAACTAACTTCCTCCTTGTCTAGCACTGCGAGGAGGCGGAGAGCCTTCAGAGCCAAGTGTCTCAGGAGAAGGAGCTGCGTACCGTGATGGAGGGATGTCTGATGGAGGACAAGATGGCGTGGAGGAGGGTCCACGTTGAGCTGGTGGAGAACCACCGCTTAGCTCAGGACATGACCGCCACACAGGCGAAGTCCAGGGCCTGCAGCGCTGAACTGCTCTCCTGTTTCACTACGGATGGGAATAGCAGCTCATGTACTGCCGCGGAAGATGAAACAAAAGGTGACAATGGTGTTAAAGGTGAGCTGAGGTGGCCTGTGCTGGTTAACTCCGTTTTGTGATTAATAAATAAATAATTTTATTTTCCTTTGCAGCTGGAGAGGGCTTAACGCATTCCAGTGTTGCGGAGTTACTAAAGAAGCTCAGTTCCCATGAAGAAGAACTGGGTAAGAAGGTGTAATGCTCAGTGATTTTGTGTCGTCAGTGGAGCTTAATGCTAATCCTGTTGACTGCTTGTTTCATCATTACAGCGGGGATCCTAGAAACTGTGCTTCACAGTCTGAGGCGACTGAGTGCCCCCGAAAAAGTGTCCGATAGCTGGGAACAGCCTTAACGTTTACAGGTGAGCACTTTTTATGAATTTCATTGGATGAAAACAAGCGCTGAAAGAGTTCCAGCGCTGATAAATCAAGAGAAAATAACTTTTCTTTGTGTTCGAGGAGGCTTCTTGCCAATATTTGACGGAGGGTGATCTAACCACCCTGAACAACCTCACTGACACGAGAGAAGGCCAAAGACGAGGCCGGACCAGAGCGAGACTCGGGGAGGGAGTCAGCTGACCTGCTGCTCCTCACGGATTGGCCGACGCACCAGAGCTCGCCAGATGTGGACAAGGCCGAGGGCAGCGGCAGCTGCTGCAGTGAAATGACAAACTCACTCGCTTGTGCTGGTTGTATGCTGGACTCCAGTGGTTGCTTGAGAGGAGAAGGGACTGATCCCGGATCAGAGGCTGGAATGCTGTGAAATGTTTCAAGAAAAACTGAACTCTCTTCCAACATGAAATGTGGTTTAAATTATGTTCGTGCCACAAGCCGAAGAGTAGTCAAAGTTAAGACTTTCTGCAGAGTCATATGAACTTTATTTGAATGAAATCTTATTCGTATGCAGTTTGAAAATAATGTCCTGCTGAATGCACCGTGTGAACCCCGTCAGTTAATCATTTACAGCAATACATTATTTTACAACAGATGTGTCAGTGGTGCAATGAAGTGGTTCGTATATCATTCAGATTTACTTTGTTGCTTCCTAAATGTGATCCGTCTTACCCCGAAATTCTCCCATATCTTTGAAATGCCAGATAGTCTTTATTGTATTAAAACCGTGTTGCCTGGAAGTTGAGTGTGGACACTTTTTCAATTTTAACATTTTTCAACATAATCAGATGTTGGAGCAGCACATCCTGGTAAGAAAGACAACTGTTGCTATTCTTTTGCTTCATTTGCAAACAGATTATGTGACCAAAACACAAATTTCATGACAGCTTGAGAATATTTGCAAATGTATTGGAGGCCCATGTTAGAGTTAGGTGAAACGACAAAATGATCCAAACAATATTTAGAAAATATATATAAATGAGTCTTTTTGGGAGAGATTCCATGATCAGTTGTATAAAGTTTTCAATATTTTAATATTTGTCTGATTCAATTGATGCGGTCACTTTTTAATTGGCTAAACCTACAGAGCAGTTCTGTGCAGAGCCTCTTGGGACAGGGATTTCCCTCCCGATGGTTGGGATGCCCTCGTACGGAGTACATCGGAAAATCCTCCACTGTGCCCGGGGCCTTGGCGGCGAAACGTTGTGTTGACAGTTGCTGCTCAGTTAACATCGTTGGCACGATACGGATGTTGGCCGAGTTTAGCTGTAGCAGCTGATGCAGATACACCAGCCTCCAGGTTTTTAAATGAACTCAAGACTCCGCCCGACTCAGACATCACTGCTCTGGCCCCCATGATCATCAGGACAACCGCAGATGTATTAGTGGGAAACTAAGAGAGATGAGGATTACTGTACCAGTGAGGACAACAGACAGGAGTCTGTGTAGACTTGAGGCTAGAGATGTTGGCGGGTTGCCAGTTGGGATTTCTGGGCCCAAGAGAGTAAAGTGTGGTCGGGTGAAAATGAATAAGTAGTCGTTCTTTCCTCTCACTAAGGTACCCTCGAGCTAAACTTTTTATCCCGACTGCTCCACTGGAACTGCTCAGCACACAGGAGTAGAAGACTAGCTGTAGTGGGCCGCAGCCAGGTGTGAAACTGTGAGGATGAATGAATCCAGGTCATTTGAACTTGCATCAGGCTTCATATATTCAGGCTACATCGACTGTACACTGACGGGATGTTAAATGTAGTTGACAAAACAGACGTCACAGGTCCAGGACTAATTCAAGTGTATTGCTTTAATGTATTGTCTGAATAGAGCCATTTCTCATATAAATTAATTCAACATTATCTACAGTCCTTCAAAATAAGATATACCATTATGTACAAACATTAACAATCCACTTAAGATGAACGGACAATTCCTCCTGTACAGCCTTCAGGATTTTACTGAGGGGTTTAAAAACAATGTAAAATGCAGCAAGTGTGAATTAACAAAAATATAGTTATATTCTGTGAATATCTGTTGTAACATTCGCTTATATGCAAATCCACCATTGGCTCATAATCACCAATTTAATCATGAACGTGTTTGCTCTTGAATGGCTGTCCAGGAGAGCATATAATTCTCTTCCTCCTTTAGACGCAGTATATCAGACCTTTTACTAATCTCTCTCTCTCTCTCTCTCTCTCTCTCACACTCACACACACACACACACACACACACACACACACACACACACACACAC